TTGAGTCAGGTTCTCACTAAGTCACTAAGTTGCCCAGCCTGGGTTGGAACTTGTGATCCTCCTGCCTCAGCCCCCTGGAGTGGCGGGCTTGCAGGCTGATGTCTCCAGTTTCCTGTGCTCTCCTATCCAAGCCTCACCTCCCGAACGCTCTATGGCCCCTCCCTGGTGATGTCCACCCCTCCACACCCACCGGATGCCCTCATCAGTGAGTTCTCTTGGCATCGCGGGACACAGCCGACCCCACCCTCCTGGACCCTCCAGCTGTGCAGTCGCTCCCGACTCCTCTGGCCATCTCAGCCTCTCTAGTCCCATCCCAGACCTCTTGTGATCGTCTCCCTTGTCTGGATCCGCTACTTCTGGGATCCTGTGACTTGGTTGAGGCCTCTCCCTCCTTGCACCAGACCCAGGGACTGCAGTTCCCAGGCCCACACACGCCAGCTTTGCCCACCTCACCCCAGACGCCTCTCTGCTTCCTTCCCACCTCCTGCCCCTCTGCCTGCTGAGCTCCCCAAGCTGCCAGGCTTTCTCTCCACCTCTGGGCCTTTCCACCCAGAACCCTCTTTGCACTGCTTCCGGCCTCCCTTTTTGTTTTTAGCTACCTGCACCTCACACTGCAGGATCTCCTCCATTAAATACTCCCCCAGGTGATTCTGCAAGCCTCTAAGACCAACAGTGTCCCTCTGGTGTGGGTTCTCATTTACTTTTTATTTTGATTGATTGTAGCGCTAGGGCTGAGAGCCAGGGCTATGTGCAAGTGAGCTTTGTGCCGCCCCAGGAGGCTTCTTAGCACAGTGATTGAAAGGCCGGGCTCTGGAATTCGACTCCTGGGTTCAAATTCTGGCTCAAGCAAGCATCTCAGTTAATTTTCTATCACACTGCTAATTAGATCTCATGCTAGATCCTCTTGACTACGATTGGTGAGAAGGTTAAATGGTTTCACTCAGTCAGGGCTCTCTACTTCAGTGCCTGGTGCCCACAGTCGGGGCTCAGGAAATGCTGCTATTAGGGTTTTTCTCCTCAGTAGTGCTTTCCAGCCAGAGTTAAACAGTGGATTGGGTGACAGATCCTTTAATGATAGGGTCTGCTCCGTGGGACCCTGAGGAGGTCTCTGCGGAGAGGGGACAGGGTCCTGGTTGCTGCCACCCCACCCTGCCGAGCGCCTCAGGAAGCACCTGGCACTCAAAGATCTGGGAATGTTTGCTCAGCCAAGGGACGTAAACCGGATGGAGATGTGGGGGGATGGAAGTGTTCACCTGGCGGCCTGTTCGCAGCAAAAAATACAAGCTGGCGGGAGGCTGGGGGTGAGGGTCACGGGTATTTAGGGGGGGCAGGGGCCGTTTATGACTGGATGGATCAGGAGTGTGCATTTTCAGGGCCTTGAAGGCTGGGAGTATTTGTGCAGCCATTGTGCTGAGCTTTCAGGACAGAGGGAGGAGATGAAGGAGCCAAGTGAAAGGCGATACCGTTTTTGCTGTTTTGTTTTTTAACTTTTGCAGAGGAAGACTGGGAAATCTCTTGCACTATTTTAGGTTCTGAAAAAGCAGCCAACTTCCACAGTGAGAACATGAGGGATGCTTGATAAACATACGCACTCCTAAAATGGAATCCAGGCATGCAGGCTGTGGGCACCAGCGAGCCTGATTATGGTTGTGCTGGGAACAGCAAGGGGCTGAGGGCAGTGTGACGTGCGGGAAGAGGGCTCAGGGAGGCCAGTTCTGCATGCGGGTGGAGGGGGCAAGCGATGCTGGGGTGGGGCGGGCAGGCCTGGACTGCGCAGCGAGTCCCTGCAGGGCGCGGTCAGCTCAGAGGGAGCCCATGCGAGGCCCCTCCCGAGCCGACGTGACTGAGGACTGGCACTCAGTGCTGTAATGGGACCCTGGAGGCCCACTGTTGCACCTGACTTTGAAGTCCTTGGGTTCTGTCTCATCTCCGGCTTTGTTGATAAGAAAACTCAGGCCCAGAGAAGGGATGTGGCTTGCTCCACGCCACACAGCCAATTAGTGACGAAGACATGAGAGGACGTTCTTCCTTTTGCCTGGGCAGATGTCAGTAGACAGGAAAATATCCTGTCATTGATGTCCACTCAGGAAGCTGGACCTGCTCATAGGCACCTCCGCAGTGGAACAGACTCCGTGGTTGATAATTGTCCATTTGCACTCTGTGTGGCCTTGGGAGCTCTCATGGGGCTTCCTTTTGCTGCCTGGAAAGTGGGATGACCAGCGGTGATGTAGAGTCACCAAGAGTATAAATGACATGGTGGTCCCAGAGCAGTGCCACAGGGTTGCTGATTGTCCTCATCACCGAAGCGTGTGGCTCGCCTGACCTCAGGGTGGTATGGTCACAGGGGGTTTCAGGAATCATTCCTGGATGTCTTGAGCCCTGACCAGCTCAGCCCTCCTGCTTGGAGACACTCAGCCCACCTGTTCTCCTCTGCAAAGGAGGACGAGGATGTGTGCAAAAGCTGAGGGATGAGGGGCAGGGCAGGCAGTGCCATGTGGGCTCAGCACATCAGGCACCTGCAGAATAGAGCCCAATAACATAGCGCTGGGGGGTACCCAAGTGCTGGGGCGTGCGAGGAGAGCACCCATGTTCACCTGCAGCCCTGGTGACCGAGGCCTGGACAAACAGGTCAGGTCTACGGTGACCAGTCCTGGAACACAGCCACCTGGGAAGGACTCAGACCCCTGGTCCCCGAGGTGCAGGGCTGCCGAGAATCCCAGGAACATTCTTGGCCTATGAAGTCAGCAGCTCTTTCTCTTCCTTTCCCTCTGTTCAGCTTCAGACAGGAAAGTCCAGTCAGAGCAGGCCAGGAAGCTGGTCAGTGCTGCAGGACCGGGAGTGGCTGGGTCACACTTCCCAGTCTTTGGTAAGGCACAGCCAGCTCATATGGGCTGACGAGGGCAGCAGGGTCCAAGGTTTTGATTTAAGAGAAGAAAGAGGCTGGGAATGACATCAGCCCACGTTTCTCTTCCCTCCCCTCTGCTCAGCTCAGGGTCTCCATCGTGGGGATGAACAGGAGCTTCGAGAGTTGCCATTAAAGGCAGCTGCTCCAGGTGGAACCAGGGCATGAGGCTGGCTTTCCCCATAGGCCAGGGCAAGGTCCCCTGGCTGCCTCCAGGTGGAAACCCTGAGCCTCAAGTTCACAGAGATCGCTGATGTCACAGCAATCTCCAAGCTGAAGTGACCCCCAGCAGTGTCATGAGCCCTTTGGCAAAGCCCATGCCACCCTGGTTGTCAACTCTTGTGGCTGTCACCACCCTCAGAGTGGTGGCCTTGTCTTTCCTGTCCAGGGGGAGAATCTGTCCTTCCCTTTGTGCTGACCACCGCTATCACTTCTGTGCATCTGAGGACACATTGTCCCCAAGGGCTCTTGATGATGGCTCCATATAATAAGACTTGTGATTTTTTTTTTTTTTGTCAGCAAGTGAGTCAGTAGAAAGAATATTGATTTCCTCAAGAACTGTCTCAGGAGAGGCAAAGGGAAGGAGGGAATGGGGCATTATTGGCCATTGACCAACATAGAAGGGCTAAGCATGACCATTTGGGGATATTACTATTCTTGCTAATTCTGCCAGAAAAAAAAAAGGTTTTGTTGCCAATTTGGGGAAATGAGAGGAAGATAGAGCCTGCCTGGTGCATCTGGTTCCTGTGTCTCTCCCTGGATGCAGCACTAAGGGAGGCTCACGGGCTACTCATTTGCCAGCTCTCATCCCTGATTCAGGGCTTCCATGTGGCGCCAATAGCCCAGCACACTGAGTTGGTTACGCTGCCCCTAAACACTGGATTTACCCCAGGGACAACTGCCGTCACCTGTGGGCCTCAGCTTGCAGCATGCCAACAGGGCTGCCCCTTCGCATCTGCTTGGGAAATCCCCAGGTCGAGAACCACTTCACGGGTTTCCCTGACTTCTCTGCAGCATGTGCATTTGGTCTTTGACATCCATTCTCAGAACCAACACTGCAAAGCCTGTTCCCCAACTGCTGAGTTGCAGAACTTTTCAATGCATTTGATGGCAGACTTGCAAATTGTGTCTGTCGTTGCCCAAGGCCCCACAGGGAAGAGGAACAGGTGGCCCCAGGCAGCCCGTGATTGAAATTCCGCTCTCCCATAGGTAGGTATCACCCTGGTCTGGTCCTGGGGCTCCGCTCTGTGCTCGCCAAGCTGTATCTCCTGTGTCTTAGTCAGCTGTTGTCTGTCAAGCACATGTGGCCATAGAAAGCCAGGAATGGAGGCAGGAGGCTGGGACCACTCCAGGGGACACTCTGTTTTTTAAACCCAATGAGGATTGATCTGGCTACCCAGAAGCCCATTTTTCATCCCAGCATTATAAAGAGATCGTTTCAAAGATTACTGCATCAGATGGGCTATCATGCAATGATAGTATTCTACATTGTGGAATTCTACAATATGGATTCATGCTGTAAAATATAACTTACATGTTTAAAAAACAAAAGTCCAGTTTTCACGCTAATGGCTGACGGTCCATTAATATAGGTCACAAGGTCAATTTAACGGTTGCTACCAGAATTAAAAGGGAAAACAGGGTCAGATAGGACATGGCAGACCTGAAAACCTCACAGTGTGTTGCATGTGGGTACGAGTGGCATGTTCTGAACCCTTCGACATGTGTGTGGTGTGCTCTGGGTCGAGATCACCAAAGACAGGGGTTTCCACCTGAGCAGTCCTCCCCTTTCTTTCTCCCCCTCCCTCTTGCTTTTCCCTTCTCGCTCCTTCTCGCCCTTCTTTGTGGATGTACAAAGTGTTTCCTGCTGCCTGCCACCTTGGTTCTGCTTCTGCGTAGCCTCCCGCCCATTTTACCTGCTGTGCCCCAAGATCCAAGTGTCCCGAGCAGAGACGGAAGTGGCTCCTCCAGGCCTTTCTTGTCCTTCCCCCTCTCCATTGCAACGGTCCTCATGGGCTGTGGCCTTCGAGATAGCCCTCACTCCTTCTTTCTTTGCTTAATAAATACATTGCTCTAAGTCATCTGATTCCCATTTCAGGCCACCAACTCCACCGTGAAGAATGCAGTCCCCAGGGCGGTCCGCGCTGTGCCTGGTGCTCCTGGTCGTGTGTTTCTCTGGGGTGCTGAGCTCGGTCCTGGATCCCATGGATTCCATAGAGCTCATGGAGTTCATGGCTCATCCTTTGGTGAGTGAATCTTTTGACACATCTCTGATTTCCTGGCAACGTCACAGGCAGAAAATATTTCCTCAAAAGTGGACGGAGGGGTCTTTGTGCAAAGGTTGCTGGTGAGGCAGAGGGGTGACGATGGACAGTGGTGGATGAGAGGAGAACGAGGTGTTCGCACAGGACTGCTTTCAACTCGGCATCAGAGTGGCACACAGGCCACAGGACCTTGGTCTGTGTGTATCTCCATCCATTACAGTGGACACAGCACAGTGGACCGCAGGCCTAGTCTAGGACCTTTGCTGACACATGGTCCGGTGGCTTTGTCTTTGGAAAGCGAGTGGGAGTTTAGCTCAGGGGTGATGCATGCCCTGCTCTCCTTATGGGATTATTCCCGCTTGAGCCTCTCTGTGTACAGAGTCAGGGCATTTACCGCCGGGACAGCTTGGGAGACCCGGAATTCTACTTGGCCCTGTCGAACAACATCCTCTCTTCAACCAGGAAGTCACAGATGAAAGGATATGGACCCCACAGAGGGGATCCAGCACAGAGGGCAGATGGGACTGGTTCCTAGAACAGCGGTTCCTAGCACTCACTGTGTCACCACAGCTCTCCTTAGGAAGCATTTGATCTTTCATAACCTTCTGTCAAGTGGACTCTATTTAATCCCATCTCAGGGTTCAGACAGAGGCACAGAGAGGTCGAATAACTTGCCCGAGGTCACAAGGCCCTGTTATGGTGGAGCTGGGATTTGAACTCAACACCCGCAACCTTTGCTTCTATCGACTGTATTCTGTAACTCAAATGTACTAAGAGCTTGCTATGTGCTACTCTGTAGCTCTCCTACTTCCTGTGACAATCATGGGAAGCTGGCATTATTTGATGCCCATCTTATAGAAGAGTAAACCATGACTCACTGGGGATGAGTAGTTCCCCAATGTTGCCTGGTTGGGGACCAGCATAGCCTGGCAGGCTAAATTGCAGAGCCCCTTCAGAAACCAGCATCAGAACAGTACCAGCAGGATATGAGGAGGAAAGAAAAACTTCTGAGCCTGAGTGGTGGCTCCCGGGCCCTGGGACAGCAGGGATGTGGGGGGGGCCTGGTGAGCAGAGGTCACGAGACTGGCCTCATAGGTCACCGGGGTGACGCAGGGCTCAGGGTAGGCAGAAAGCACCTTTTTAAGCATCACAGTTGTCCTTCCCTGACAGGGCTCTGACAAGTAGCATGTGAACCAGGTGAGGTGATCTCTTCCATTTCCGGATGCTGAGCCAGGCTATAAAAATCCTTCCTGGGTACTCCACCAGGCTCCTGTGTCCCTGGGGTATGGTGTCCCCTGAAACCTGGAGGCTGAGCTTGCCTGGGACAATCAGGGGTGCATGGACAGGAAGCCAAGGTGAGGATTTCTCTAACTGACGCCTTCTCAGATGTCCTTCCAGGTGCTACATGAAGAGGACCATAAAGAGGACTATAAAGAGGACCTCGAGAGTGAGGAGCTGCTGAGCCCTAGGTGTCCAGGTATGTGAACTCCTCCCTGGGGGTTGCTCTTGTAAGCCCAACCACTGGCTCCTTTGCAGCTCTAAACACGGTGACCCCAGAGTCCAGGTCCCAGCACATCCAGCCTGTGGTGGGCAAGGACACAGGGGACAGAGGTATCTGCTGGTTCCCTTCCCAGTGCAGCCACCAGGCCCACCTGGCTCTGGGTTCCAAACTGAGAAATGGCCTGCGGTTTATGTTGCTCTGGATGGAAGTGCTCACTGGAGGTCACAGCACTCCAGGCTTTCCTGCCCTCCTCCCCTTCCCTCTCCTTCTCTGCCATCTCTCCTTTCCTGGTGTAGCCTTCCCTGCCTAACCCCGTGGCAGGCACAGAGCCAGTTGGCTATTCTGGAAGACATTCATTATTTTGAAAATCAAACTTCTTTTTTTTAAAAAAATCAAACTTCTTGCAGGAGAGTTCCAACTCTCATTTCCACTGAGTTCTTCTGGGGTTTGGGGCTGCCAGCTTCCCTGGGAGCAGCTGGTGACCCCACAGCTATAAAAGGGATTCTTTCCTGTACTTCTGGGTCCTGCTGCCTAAGGCCACAGTGCCTTGAAGAAGAAACCACTTCCACATCTAAGATTGGACATTCCAAAATTTTCCAGGCATGCTTTCATTAGAAGCCATTCTGACAGCAATAAGTCACCATGAAAACACATTTTCAGTTTAGTATACGTGGTCCTCCTGGGCCTCTAAAGTCACTTGGGAAGCGTTGGCAAATCAGCCCATCTCCTGCAGAAGATGGATTGAGCACTGAGGTAGGAAACAGCCACAGAAAGGAGAGGCTCAGGCTGGGCCAGGTGGAGCTCAGAGGGACCACAGATAGCAGGAAGCTATCACTTATGGAAGCCCCACCTATGGTTGCAAAAGGCTTTGATCGGACACCTGGATAAGAACCATAACACTAGGGGTCCTCACACAAGATCTTGACTCCCTAATAACAGTCATGTAGGAAGCCCATCGCCCTTAATCGTGGTGGACAGCTGTGGCTTGAAGAGTCCAATGGGCCTCCCAGGTCAGAGGTGCCCACCCCACTATTCTCTTGGGCTCTGAGGTCCATGCTCACCATTCTCGTGTGTGTGTGTGTGTGTGTGTGTGTGTGTGTGTGTGGTCCCACATGTGGCTCCCTGCATGTCTCTTGAGTACTTTGTAGAGGAGGACTGGTGGCAGTGTCTCATCTTACAAGGTAAAGGACTCAGCGTGGGGTAGCCTTGAGGATTTGGGCTGATGGCTAGAGGGTAGGATGGATGGTTTGGTCAGGACTTCACAACACAGCATCTCATGACTCATGTTCTCTGTCCATGCTTGGCTAGTGGGCCATAGCTGGGATTCTGCAGATTCCCCTGTATGAACTGCCCTTCCTAGACCCTACAGGAGCACAGGCTCTGTGGCTATACCTGCTGAGTGCGGGCTGACATTGTGTAGACGATGCTACCCAACTGCTGCCTATAGAAAATACCAAGAAATGAGCACAGATGATAGGCATCTCTGGCCATTTACTTGCTATGCAGTTGAAAGGGAGAAACAAGAGTCCAGTTCCTTGAGATACAGACCATGATTCCCTGGCCAAGAGAGAGCATGCCAGGCTCCTCCTCTTGGGTGAAGGCAACTGGCTTCTGTCTTCGCAGGTGGGAGGTGGGTTTCTCTACCTGCTCAGGCTGGTTCTAGAAGGTACCATCCTCATCAGTTTTGCCAGGCAAAAGTGGTGTTGTTTGTTCAAACAGCTGGGTCTGAAGACCCAGACCCCATGTCACAATTTGAGGCCAACTTTCGACCTCACTCACTCAGGAACACTAGTGACACTAGGAGTCAGGGAGTCATGAGCCAGAAAAAGCCAGACAAACAGCACAGGGGAGCAGGCAACCCGGAAAAGAAAACAGGCAAAACACCAGGAGCCAGATGAGGGTACAGGGGCATCTCAGCAGCATCTCAGGGAGCCGTTCCTGCCCCTCCCAGTGCCCCAAACTGGGCACAAGGAGTGGCGCTTTCCAGGCCTTGACATGATGCAGTTTGTATTTCTAACCCCTACCCCTGGGCTGAGCTTGCGACCCCCACCGATGGGATTCGGGTGGCCCTGACACCTGGATGTCCCGGCCGTCTCCTGGGTCCCTGTGCTGTCCTGTGGTCCAGAGGAGGATCCAGCACGGGAGGCACCTCTTGTGTCCCCCAGACAGCTGTGGGCGTGTTGCTCGGGGATCCCATGCTCGTCTCTCTTCTCCAAGCACTGCCCTACTGTGGCTCCAAGGCTCCCCACACTTCACGGGGATTCTGCTCAGAGATGACTGCTCTAGAAAGGTCTTTCCTAAGACCTGAGCGAAGTTTATCACAATTCTGCCATGTATTATTAATACTTTTGCTTTTCAGCTTGATTTTATTTTTAAAATTTGCTTTAGAAGTCTTTGATTTCCTGTGAGCATATATCCAACAGTAATGCTTTATGTTACTATAGTACTTCAGGGTTTACAGCATGATTCAGCTGTTACCTTTTTCAGTCCGAGTTGTGGCAGTGTCTGGTTAAAAGGAAATGGACTTCAGAGTCCAAAAAATATGGTTTCAAATCCCACCCCTGGCCCTTGGTATCATGAGGTTTCCACTCTTTGAACTTCAATTGCTCCACCTGAAAAATGGGTGTCATCTGTCTCAGGCCCTGGGACCACCTGGGTGACAGGCAGATGGTAGCTGCTGTTATTACTACTTTTATCATCATCACCGTCATGCACACAGGTACAGAGGGGAGCACAGGAGGCAGGTTTCCCCACAAGAGCAGCTGTGGAGGAGACTAAAACAACTAAAGCAAAAGAGGAAATAAGTTTAGGCGCTTCACAGGCTCTCCATGATTACTTCCTGGGTTTTTCATTCAGACGCCAATGTCAGATCCCAAACCTGTCTGGTTATTAAAGTCACCAGCAGGAATCTTTTAAAAATATGGGCCTGCCCCATAAAGATTATCATTTGCTTGGCCTGGGTGGAGGCTCCAAAGTGACTGTGCATGTGTGATGTGTGTGTGTGTGTGTGTGTGTGTGTGTGTGTGGTGTGCACGGTTCCCACTCAAATGTGGGGAGTTGATTTTGTCCGGGGAAGGGCCAGGCCTGTTGAATTGTGGTGGTGTTTTTGAAAATCCTTCCGAGAAGGCGTTTCCTTTGCTATGAGGGGGCCCCTCCTTGCTGTCTCCAGGGAGAGATGACACCCCGGCTGAGGGTGACTAAAACTCTCTTAGAAGGCACCAAAGAACTCAAGAGGGGAGGAGGCAGGGAGGACCTTAGAGCCAATGCTGAGTGAACAGCTGTACGAGGCTCCTAGGCTAAAAGTGGGTAGAGTCCAGGTCCCTTCCTCCCAGGGCTCTGCCTTTGCCTCAGCTCCGTGAAAATCTGTGCAGAGGATCTGCGCTGGATTCACAGGGACAGGTGGCATGCGGATTGCCACGTGCTCTTCAGGCCCATGTGTGTCCTACACACACATCGGAGAGGGAGGGCCTCAGGGACAGAGGGAACCCCAGGCAGACATGGGCGTCCTGCTGGGCTCCAACCCTGAGCCACAGCCGGGAGGAAGACGAAGTGGGTGAAACGGGATTGTTACTGACCTCTCCTGTCTCATATGTAGCCGCTGTCCGGGAAATCCTGTTTATACTCTGGAGAGGAGAGTTCACTGTTCTGGTTACAGAGGGACCTGGAGCTCGGGGGACCTTCTTCAGGGACAAACATGGCCACCTTGCTTTTCAGGGAAAAGTGTGCTCTAGGCCAGCCTCGTAAATATCCTCAACGCCCTCTTTCAAATGGTCCCAGTGGGCAACATGGTATGTCCAGAGTCCAGAGTTAGAAATGCACAAACAAAAACTAGCAGGCCATCCAGGAAGCAGGTTTCCATCACTCAACCATTTAAATCCAAAGGAAAACAGGAAATTTGACCAATGTCATTGTATCGTGACAGACTGAGATTCCATGTGAGGTTTTCAAAGTCACTTTATTTTTCCTGTAAATACATCTTATGAACAGTAAAATATATCATACAATGCATTCCTAAACAATCTGCACAGACTGTTTTTATCATTTGAGTTCATGGCAGCCAGCTGAAGGACATCAAAATAAAATAATTCTCAACAGGCTGGTGGGTTAAACCAGCCTCCTAAAACAGACATGGTTTACAAGCGTACAGATATTCCAGCTTTCTTCAATAAACACTCAGGGCCAGAGATTTAGCTTAGTGTTTTTGCTGCCTGGTACACAAGCGCGAGGACCCGAGTTCGATCCCCGGTACCAAAAAATAAATAAGTAAACACTCAACAAGTAGAGTTTCCCATGATAAACCTTCTCCAAGAGCTTCCAGCAGCAGTGCTTGTAGTATTTAGAACAAATCTTACCATGCTTTGAGAAAATTCTTTTAAAAAGCAGGCATAGAGATTGTAATTTTATGCTAAGACCTCTGTGATCATAGTTTCCTGTTTGATTTAAATTTTAAAATAATAGTCTTACAAGTATTCCCTTAATGTTTTTCTCATATAAACATATCCTCAATGCACCTAGGTGGAAAACTCGTATTCTTTAATTTCTTAATTAATTACTGGCCGAGCCCAGGGCTCTTCTCCAACTGTATATTCCAGCCACAGTAGGGCCAGAGATCCCCTCAGTGATGGGGATGAATCTCTGGTGTGGCCCAGACTGGTGAGTCCACTAGGAATTGCCTGGCACTGACCCACTCTGTGCCGGGGGGTGAGCAGGACCATGCGAAGGGGCAGCGACAGGAACAGTCCCTGTCCTTGGGATGCTCACAGTCAGAGGCCAGACAGGATGTAATAAGCAGGAAAGAACATTTCTAAGATTTATATTCGAGGTGTGTCTGGGCTGCCTGGAGCTAGCCTGTGTTGAGGAACAGAGCCGTGAAAAAGACGGCAGTCTGCAGCCTGAAGACCGTCTGGAAAAACAACAAAGAGCTAGAAGGCCCATTTATTTTACCTTCCAATTTTCCAAACTTGCATTGCACACCTGTGGTGTTCTAAATCCTGGGAGAAGAAAGAGCACACGCTCTGTGAGTAGACTAAGAGCAAAGGGAGCTAACAGAAGGCTTTCCCCAAGGTCTTTCAGATGCGCATGGTTCAGCTCTTGTAATGTGTGCCTGTCACCCAAATGGAGCTGGAAACTCTGCAGCCTGTTCCTCTGGCCAGAGCCCTGGCTCGTAGCGTCTGAACTGTGGCCCCTTTGAGTCCTCCACTGCCATCCTGGCCCATCACAGTTCATGTTCCACACAGTAGTCCTTCATCTTGGTCACCAAGTTGGGGGCAGGGTTAGGGGGGCAGAGAAATACCCTCCTCTTTCTCAGAAGGCATTCAGTAGGGATTCTTACGGGTGGGCTGCTGTGCCCAGCTTCCACCCACACCTGCTGTTTCCTGTACCTGCTGGAGCATCCCTCTTGTCTCTCTCCATGTCTTCTCATGGCCTCAGTGCTTTCATTTCAGATGCCCTGAGCATTCCTGTGGTGGACGAGTACACTGTGGATGTCGAGCTCAGCTTTGAGAATGTGTCCTTCCTGGAGTCTCTCAGAGCTCAGCTGCACGACCTCAGTTTTCCAATTCAAGTAACTGACACTGACCCAGTGACTGCCATTCTGAGCATAGAGGTGACAACAGGTGAGTGAGAGCCCAAGGCCTTAGGACAGATGGCAAGGTGTCTCAGGAGAAAGGTCACTAGGAGCTTTCTCATTGGAGCACATGGCTCTGGAGGCAAGGGGAAGGACCCAGGGGCCTGCAAGGCTTCACAGCCTTCAGGGTGAACTCTGCAGCCAGGGTCTCCTTATTGTAGGTGGTGATAGGAAGTTTGCCTGGTGGCTCCCGTGATGGTTGTCATAAAGTGGCCCTGAGATATGACCAGGTGCTTCTTGACAAACTATTGGGTCCTCTCTCTGGGCATCAGTAATTATAGCAAGGACCGGCTCAGGATATTAAACAGCAGCCAAGTCCCTTCTTTGTGGCATCATAGATCAGGAAGTAGGACTCAGGAAATGGATCAGAAGTAAGACATTAGGCAGAACTTCTCAGACCATGGATTAGACTTTCTGGGTGCTGCATAACAAATGCCTGGCAGTGTCTGAGGGCCGGAAATCTGAGGAAGCTGAAGTGGCTCCCGTTCAGGATTTTACCAGGTTGTGATGGTGTCAGCTGAAGTCTCCCTGGAGCTGGAAAATCTGCTCCCAAGCCCACACATGTACAGGAGGCTGCAGTTCCTTACAAGATGTTTCCCTGAGACTGAGTTCCCTGTCATGCCAGCCTCTCCCTGACAGGTCTTTATGCTGGGGTTGCCAGTGTCCCCAGAAAGGGGGGAGAGAGAGAGAGAGAGAAAGAGAGAGAGAGAGGAAGGGGGAGAGAGAGAGGGAGAGAGAGGGAGGGAGAAGAGAAGCTACACCATCCCTTATAACCTAACTTCCGGAGCTGCACACCATTATTTCTGCCAGATCCCACTGCTCACCAGGTCTGGGCTCACCCTGGCGCAGCATGACAGGGCACTAAGAGGGTGCGAGTATTGAGGACACAAAGGCCAGTGGCCATGCACTCCACGTCCAGGGTCTGTCTGTCATCACAGACATCCACGGCCATCTGCTGTTAGACGTGACCATCCCAAGGGTGCTCCGACCATCATTGTCACTCAAGAGTCACCCGATAACCAGAGCCACCACCTTCCAGGTGTGACACCTGGCGGCACAGTGATGCACATGTGTGCATCCCAAGGGCCTCCCAGAGGGCAATGTGGAGACGCATCAGGACCCCCTGCCTGTGCAGACCCATCCCGTCTCTAATGCAAAGGTGGTGACTGCCTTCTTTCTCCTCCCTCCTGCTTGACCACAGTCTGCACAGCCACCGGAAATGAAGTGTGGTGCTCCTGTGAGTCAGGCTATGAGTGGCCTCAGGCAGGATGCCTCCATAATGCCATCTGTCGGGAGCATGATGGTGTCTCCTCAGGGAATCCCTGCGGCTGCCTGAAAGAACTCCCTCCTCAGGGACCTTTCTGCCAGCCCCCAACAGGTAAAGGCTCATTACACTCTTGTTGACTGGCTACTCGATTTTAGCCCAAGCTCGTGTTTCTCTGTTCTTTCTGTATTCAGTCACTAACACAAGATGGTTATTTCAGTTCTTACCTTGAGAATGAAAGTCAGACTGAATGTGGGTTTTCAAGAAGAACTGTTAAACACATCCTCTGCCCTCTACCGATCCTACAAGACCGACCTGGAAAGAGCGGTAGGTTTTGGCCCCAGCAGCTTCTTCACCCACAAATGCTGGGCTATACTGGGTCCGTTTGATTCACAGTGGATGGTTTGCTTGGCTCAGTCACGATCTGAGTGTGGATCTGGAGTTATTCACATCTACCCGGGATGGAGATGTCAGAAGCACTAGATCAAACATGCTCAGGGGACCATGTGGGTCACCTTAACCCCAGAAGAGCTGCCCATGGGGTGGGGTTCAGACAGGCCCCGCTGACACTGAGTCACTGAGATCTCACTGCTGCTTTGCTCTTTCCCACACACATGGTGGAAACTCTGATGCCTTTCAGGCAGAGTGACCCAAGGCTGATGCAGGGCATGGATGGTCCCTGCCCTGGAGCTCTCTGGGATGTCACATGGGAGCCATGCGCCTTGGCTGCCAGGCTCTATTCTGCAGGGCACTGTGCTCACCAGTCACTCTGATCCCACTTTGCTTAACTCATCCCTGACAGAGCTGCCCAACTGACGTGGAGCAAAGGTCCCAAGTGGGCTGAGACTGTGACTCCCCTCACTCCTCAGGATGAGAGCAGCCTCCTGCCACCCACGGGGGACCCCGCAGAGAGGCCGTTTTCCAGGGGTGCATGAGGGAACGCTGACTCCCCAGGACACCTCATAAACCTCTGCTTTGCATAGCTTGCAATGTGGTCACCGCCCAGCAGGGGAGCCCTCCACACACACACGTGCACATGCATGCGTGCACACACAGACACACGCACACATGCGCACACACACAGAAACACACACGCACGCACGCATGCACACACGCACACCACTAAGCGATTTAACTTTGAGGAAAGAGAAAGTTGCCCATTGATCTTTGGGTACCTGGCCCAGGTCCTCGTACATTTTAGCCACGTTGTGGAGATGACTTGAATCAAGTAGCATCTCCTCTGGGCTTGGCACTGAGAGGAACAAAGTCTATTAAAACCCACATGAGCTCACCCAATGCTGCAGGGCTGTCAAGGGAGGATCAGGCACTGCAGGGCCACAGGCTGTGTCCAGACGCCTGATGCAGGGTGTAGTTGAGCAGGGGCCTCGGGGTTGCACCCAAACCCAATGCCACGCGTGCTGCCCCCTCCTGAGGCCTAAGTGAGGTGACTGTGACCTGTGTCCTGCCGACGTGGAGACGTGCGGAGACAACGGAACCTTCACAGGTTCAGCCTCGCTGCTGTTACCCAACCCCTCTCCCTTCTTTCTTGGGTTCTGATGGCTGTCACCGCCTTCCCCACTTGCACCCCATCTCCTCTCCTGGCCACTTCCCCAGGTGACCCTTCTGCACACTTCCTCTAGCATCTGCTTCCCCAGTAGCCCAGATGGACATAGATAATTAGAGATGACGGCTTCAAAGGTCCGCAGATGTCAGAGGTACAGGATATAAATGAGAAAATCTTAGCAAGGTGGTGAGGATCATGTGCTCCCAGCTGTGTTTCAGTCTGTGTATCTCTCCCCAGCCTCCCATATATGACACTCACTTGCCTTTTTAAATTTTTCCAGTTCCAGGAGGGGTACAGGATTTTACCAGGCTTCAGATCAGTGGCTGTGACAGAGTTCACGTAAGAATGCTGTAGTCTACTTCTTTCTACTTGATGAGACCAGTATGTAAGTGGAGGAGAAAAATACTCCCTAGGGGGCTCCATGTGGGGCACTCAGTGGGCAGAGTTTGGCCAAGGTGAAGACTAACACCAGATGCAGGGGTTAAAAAGAAGCAAAGGAAGTACAGAGAGGAGTCTTCCACCCCTTATGGATAGATGTGCCTGCTTAGAAATAAAGAGGAAAAAGTGTGTTCATTTCACACATAAAAGAATTTTGCAAACAAGCATGTAAGTTTGCAGTCTAGAGAGCTTAGAAACATAAAAATGGAATAACCCCATGGAACAATGCCAACAGTCAGGACAGAGGGGTGCCAAGCTCCAATATGCAGGGCTCCCCTGAGCCAGGCCGGCCCCCTGAGGGGTCTGGACTCTATTTCAGACTTAGCTGCTGATCTTGAAAGTCAGAGGTCTGTTCAAGAGCAGCAGGGTTTTGGTTTCAGTTAACATCAGTCTGGCTGCTGACCCTGAGCCTACGGGGCTGTGACTGCAGTTGGCAGGTCTGGGACTGCAGCTGCTTCTCCGTGATCAGACCGTGGGACTCCGTCCACTGATTGCCACCTGGCGACATTTCTCATTTCCATTCCCTGCCTGTGTGTCCAAGCCCTTCCATGGGCTGAGTTTGAAGACAGGTTCACATCAGCGATTTCAGAGGATAACAGTTCCCCGGGTGGTTGCTTCTATTTTGCTTTTCCAACCAAATAAACCCCAAGTATCTAGACTCTCCTGGGGCAGTTACTGCTTCACTGAATGGCATGGGTCTCTCTCCAGCAACGGCAGTGTGGTTGTGAGCTTTGAAGTCAAGACTACAACGCTCCCCCCTGGACAAATCCAGAAGGCCAACGAGCTGGTGCTGCAGAGCCTCAACCAGACCTACAAAGCAGATGAGAACTCCTTCCAGGGGGTGAACAGTAAGTGGAACCATGTGCATTTTCCCCACATGGATTCCATGCAGCTTGGTAGTGGCTTCTGTGCTGCAGCTAAACCTAGGAGGTCACATGGTGATGGGAGGGCTGGGTGCCATCCCTTCCTCTTGGACCACTGCCTAACAACCTGGCTCACCTCCCTGCCCTGGGATTCAGGGCCAAGGGAGTCAAAAACATCTGAGGAAGTAAAGCTAACCCTGAGGGTAGGAGGTCCTCACAGCAGGCGCTGACACCGAACAGGGCATCCTTGTTCCAGAGCAGAGGGTCTCAGCCCCGTCCTCACATGCCTGCAAGGGGCAAGCCCCTCAGGTGACTCCCATGCACGGGGAAGTTCAGGGTGTTCACATGAATCTCACCTGCACACGTGCTGTGACGCTATTTTCTCCAACAAGCAGGTGATGAGATGGAGCCAAACAGCTCTCTCGGGGCTGCACAGTAAGCAACACAAGTTCAAAGCCAGGCCGCTACCTTAAATGTGCACAGATGGCCCGTTTCCTAAGAGTTGAATGTGATTTTTTAAAGTTTTTTATTTTAACCAGGGGCCTTGAAAAGGTGTTAAGAAATATTTATAAATACTGATGTTTCGACTCGAACACGAGGCTGCTCCTCAGTGGTGTGATGTGATTTATCGCTATATTTACAAGGTGTTGGGGTCTGGCCAGGCATCCAGCCCTGTGCAGGACTTCACAGAGCCTCCTACTGCCTCAGCACACACAGCCATGCGGGACACTGGGCCACAGCCTATGTAGGGGACCACACTCTGCCTAAGCAAAGGACACCCAGAAAACACATACAAAAATTGTGTTTTATTTTTATCAGGGAAATGACTCGATGCAGGGATTCTGGGGAATTTTACTGCCTGAGCAATAATAATAGCACTGTTTCTCAGTCCCCTCCCAAGGTCGCTCTCGGGGCACCATTGTCCAGACCGGGGAAGCTGTGGCCCCTTGAGGTCCACTGCTACCCATGGGACAGAATCAGGATGCAAATCCACACCTATCTCTACAAAGCTGCCACTCTGAAGGGTCCACAGAGACTGGGTCTTTAAAAACTCTTACTTCCCCAGCGGGCTTTAGTTATTGCTGATAATTAATTTGTTTTCCCATTTCTAACTCATGCAAAGATTAGGTCAGAGCTTTGAGTGAACGCAGGCTAAGAGTTGTTGGTAAGAAGCTATTGACCTTATTCTAGCCAGCCGCTAAGAATCTCTATGCTTGTTAGCCTGTGTCCGTTTTTCATAAACTAAGGGGCAATTTTTCCTCAGACTGAAGTATTGAAAACAGCTCTGGGATCCCCACTCCTTCCATTAGGAATGCTCAAGTGACCTCAGGACACACATTGTACAAAGCCCTGGAACTGAAGCCCTGTCCCTTACAGCTGGCAGGCTGCATGCACCTCCTGGGGTCTCTGGTGGCAGCACAGGGGTCTGAATGGGGAGACACCATGCCCTGGGGACCCACAAATCCTGGCCTTGGCAGCACCCTCTAAGCAGGGTCCACTGTGTTAATTTGCCCCAAGATCCTAGCTTTCTTTGAATTTCCAGATGAAACCAAGTTATCCGTCATGCCAGCAATCATCTTTGAAGGGGACACGGTGACACTGGAGTGTGAAAACGAAGTGCTGTCCTCCAACGTGTCCTGGCTCTATGGGGAAGGGCTCTCCAGCCTGTCCAGGCTCCGGAATGGCAGCAGACACTCCATCTACACCACCGTGCAGCTGACCTCCATGTCGCGGCTCACCATCACCAACTTCACCCAGGAAGATGAGGGTGAGGGGGCCAGAGTGGGCTGGGGAAGGGGCACACGGTGTCCCGGGCTGTTCAGAAAGGGGTGTCTCCGCTCAGAGCTTCACCATAGAAAACTCACCCCATGGCTTTTGGCTTGAAACGCTGTTAAGATTTACTTTTTATTTTGTACCTTGTATTATTTTATTATTAATTTTTCAAATAAATTGAAAACATGTATAGTCGATTTGAAGAGCTAGAACTGACATGCTAAGCTGCGTGTATCTAGAGTGTCAAGTTCACTAAGTTTGGACATGGGTGTACCCCTGAAGCCAGCCCACAGCCCAGAGAACATGTCCATCTTCCCTTGCTCCACTGCAGGGCCTCCCTGTGCTCCTCCACTGTCCTCGCCTACTCCCCGCAGCAACTGCAGAAGCTTAAATCTCAATTCAGAGACTCGTGATGGTCCCAACTCGGTCTAGAATTGAATGGCCCCATTTTAAACCAAAAGTCCACTGGGCCCTCTCTTCTCCTTCACATACAAAGGTAGACTGTGGGCCTCTGGGTCTCAACCACATCTTGGTTGATTCCAATTTTCCCACAGGGCTAACTAGGATCCCCAAACTGTCCATGCTCTTCTATTCTCCAGGGCTTCCCAATGTTACCTCTTCCAAGCCTGCCATTGTTTCTCACTAGCAAAATCCCTGAGTGTGCAGCCACGGGAGCACCGCTACTCCTTCCCTTGGGGCTCCAGGAGTATCTGCACTGACCATGTACCTCCTGAGTGCTCCTCACTGAGCGTGTGGACTGACTCTCAGGGGCTGCGAACAGGGAGCTCCCTGGAGAGCGGCCCTGGTACAGGCATGGGCTGGCGTCCTCCAAGGGAATGCACATAGGTGGTAGTCACAATAAATGATTCCTTGTATCCTACCCAGGTCTCTACGCTTGCAAACTGGTAATGGATATCTTTGAATTTGGGACCGAAAAATACATCAATGTGACGCCTATCCAGATCCTGGCAAATGAAACAACAGCCGTGAAGTGCGACAACTATCCTGTGTCGCTGAACTGCTGCAGTGAGAACGAAGCGAACTGGACAGCCATCGAGTGGAAGCAGGAAGGCAACATGAGCATTCCAGGTGCGTGTGCCTCACACGGGCTTCGGCACACAGGGGTCCCAAGCAGGAGATGTGGGAGGAGGGGATCCGATGGTGGCTTCCTTCTGATCTTCAGGCTTTGGAAGACCACTAGGTGTGATGTCAACTCCAGATCTGCCCCTGCAGAACAAAGTTGCAAAAGTGTGTGTTTGTAAGAGTCACACCCGGTTATAGACAAGATCCCAACAGTAGAAGCAAGCGCAAGGTCCTGAGTTCGATCCCCGGTACCAAAAATCAAAACAAGTGATCTCTTTTTAATTACTTAAACTTGGTCACAAGTTTGAAGCTGGCATTTTTATCTTCAGTATGAAAGTAAAGTAATTGAGTCCAGATTAAATGAGTTCTCCAAGGTTGTCAGGATATAAAAAGAAAATAATTAGGACTCACTGCAGATCTTGTCTCTCAAGATATTACCCATCCTGCAGCCAGCGCTGGTGCAGGCTGGCCTGGCACATTGGATGGAAGAAGTTTGTTTTCTACCTGGAAACCAGGTAGGATCAGTCAGCTCTTCTCTTAAGAAACAGCAGTGTTATTTCTGTGTGTGTGTGAATCAAACTAGACTGAATCAAGATTTTTAAACTGAAACACATATACATGTACACACAAATAACAGCAGTGTTATTAGGTGCTCATCTTTGAAGAAAAAAACAACTTCAAACTAAAATGTGGCAATTCACTCATGTGCAAGCCTTTGTTTTACAAAACCTCCACTCTTGGACTATATGGCTTTAAATATACCAAGCGATTAATTTACAGGCACATTTTTCTGAGCACATCTACTTTGCAAAGCAGGTTCATCTGCAGAGCTTCTGTTTGACCTGAAAGGCTTGCAAGAGTGGGAAAGGCATATGGTAACTTGAAAATACCATACCTGGGACAGTCACTTCCCTGATTTTAAGGAAGAGGAGATGTAGGCTTCCTACAGGCGCTGCCAGATGGCAGAGAGACCTTGCAGGGTTCCTGTGGTTCTGCTGGGGAAGGTTTCCAGGCCTGGAAGAGGCCCCTGTGAGAGGAACCAGGAAGTCTGGGCTGCAGTGCTCCAGACCTGCTCTGAGACCCCTCTGTGACATTCCTAACGCCCAGGGCCCAGGGCGGGCTGCGTCCACCGCAGAACAATGGGTTTCCTGCCACAGGCCCTCTCGCTGCCTGGGGACCTGGCTGTCAGTTGTCTGATGAATTTAGCCTCTGCTCTGGCACTGGGCCCTCCTTCCTCCGCCCCTTGGCAACCTCTCTCTGCAGCTCTTTCACCAAACATCACACTTTCTTTCAGCACCCAGATTTCCAGGGAGGAAGTATCTAGTACAATGTGTCGCTCCAAGGTCTTCTCTGGATGTGTGAGTGTCTTCTCATTTTGAAGGTGTTCTGGAATGGGAGAAGACTGGAAATAATTAGCAAAAGGAGACTTTCTGGATTTTTTTTTTTTTTTTTTGGTACCGGGGATCAAACTCGGGTCCTTGCGCTTGCGCAGCAGGCAGCAAAACCACTGAGCTAAATCCCTGGCCCTCTGGATTTGTTTTTGAGAGTTTTGTTTTGTTCATTCTCTGGTTTTTTGAAACCTGGTCTCTCTATGTAGTTCTTCAACTGAAAGATCCTTCTGCCTTAGACTCTGGAGTGGTTGGATTACAGCTGTGCACCACCATGCCCAGCCAAGCATTTGTGTTTAGGAAGAGTAACAAGCAAAGATCTCCCACTACACTGAGGAAAAGTGGAGCGATCTTCTTTGAGGGTTGCATCATTATCATAAAAGTTATTGTGGCAGATTCAATGCATTCAGTTACAAGGAGTGATCAAAATACACAGTGAATGTTTTTTTTAAAAACATACTGCAGTAAAAGACACATTGACAAGAACAATGAGTAAGTGTGCTCAAAGTGAAGGGGAGTTTGTTGAATATTTTGAGGGAGAATTGTGGTGATGTGTCTTCTACTGTAATAAGCTTTTAAAATTGAAACATTCACCGTGTATTCACTCCTATGTTTTTGATGTTTAGCATCTTGTTTTTTCTCACTCCTAAGAAAAAGCCTTGGGAAGTGGCTACCTTGATCACCCCTCACTAGCAGAGGTCTGGCACACTGGGTATGCGTGAGATGCGGGCTTGTACATGTACACCGTCCCTTCCCCAGCAAGGGCGACACAAATCGGTAGCCCCACTCAGCGCCTCTGCACAGGGCCTGGCACTGCCCATCCTGCAGCAGTGGAGGAGCACAGTATGCCCAAGCCAGCCCAGCTCTGTGGCTCAATGTTTTTTGCTGTCCCTGTGGAGCCTGGTCCCCTGTCTGGTGACGACCTGCATGTGCTCCCCGAGGGCCTGCAGGCTTTTTCTCAGTGCCCTTGCTGACAGTGGTTTTCAGACTTAACTGCAGAATCCATTCTTCAAGTAAAATCATATATTGTGTCTAATAGAGGGTTTCTCAGCCTGGGTACAGATGATGTTTGGGGCCCGATCCTCCTTTTCTGTGAGTTATCCTGTGCATTGTAGGGTGTTGTTGGCAACTCCACACTCTACCCACCAACACCACTAGCACCCAGAGATGGGAGAGCAAAAAATGTCTCTTACCATCACTAAATGCCCTCTCAGGAGGCAAAATGCCCCAGGTTCTGGTGTGCAGGAGACCAGAACACAGTGACTCTAGTTTAAAAGATGTGAGGGATATGGATCCCAGTCACTTAGCACCCTCCCACCCCAATCAGGCTGAGTTTGATGTGAATTTCTACAAGGAGTACTGGTTTACAGACACACATCACACAGCCACATGCCAGAACCACAGCCCCCATTTCCATTAAAACCCTGGTGTCTTTCAGGCCCATCAAGCTTCCCCTCATCTGAAATCACCATGTCTTCCAGCTGAAGTATCCTTCCCTTTCATCTGTGTGACAAAGTATGAGTATTGCAGGTGCTCCCGTGGAACCTTCCTACTGCAAATCTACTAATTCTGTGCCTTTCTGTACGCATTCCCTCTTGCATGGCTTGTTGTCTTCATGTTAGTTGGTAGAAAAGCTGGCTCTTTACAAAGGAGTGAAAGTTGGCAGGAGGCAGAGGGAAGGGGACCATGGCAGGTGCCCAGGCCTGGAGGAGGGATGCTGCAGATGGGTTGGCGGCCCAAGAGGGGACCCAGCTTTTGAAAGGAAGATATAGAATGAGATTGAGAGAAGGTGGGTTATAACAATACTGTGAATAAGTGCCATACCCTATATATACTACACAGTATACTTCTACTATATCGTATAAACATATAATATATATACTATATATATATTATGTAAGGAGAATTTTACTTTAGTCTGTACCCAGTGGTAAGATTTTAAAGGTAAAAGGAAAATAGACACTCAGAGCTGCCCTTCAGAAAAATAATGCTCAGGCAGTGTAAACAGTAGGTTGAAGGGCAGGTAACTGAAGATGGGTGTCCAGCTGTAATAGTTGCCAATGCTCAGAGGACCGACAGTGGGGTTTGGGCAGTGACCTTGGGCTAAGACAGAAATGTTTCAGAAGTGCAATCAAAAAGATCCCTTACCACTGCGTGGAAGGACAATGTGAGGAAATGCAAGTCATTAAAGGTGACTGTAAGGTTTCCAATCTGGGGAGCTGCCAATGGCAAAGAGAGGAAATACAGGAAGACATGCAGGTTTTGTCTGGGGAAGAGTAAATCGCGCGTGTTGAGTTGGAGATGCCGGAGATGTCAAATCAGCACTTGGACGTTTGTTTCTGAAGTTTCCAGCAAGGGCATTTTTCTTGGAAATGGTGTTTTTTTAATGCCTCAATTCAGTCTAGTTAGTATCAGTTCAGTCTTAAAAGTATAATTTCTCCTCTCCCATTTCATCTTGTCCAGGAAATAATGCTACAGAAAGCTTTAATCACTTGACACTTTGTTACAATTTTTAAGTTGAAACAGTGTTATTTAATGCCTCATTCAGGATCATTAGTATCAATTCAGTCTTAAAAGTATCATTTCTTCTATAAAGCATTAGTCACCCATTGCCGCAAATGGGTTTTTCCATTGTTTCCCTCTCTGTCTTACAAAGTTGCGGGGGAGGAGTGGAGAAAGGGTAAGAGGAGGACCAAGGCCGGGAGCTCAGTAGGCCAGGCAACACCAGTGTTTACGGAGGGAACCGTAGACAAGGAGCTTGAAGGAGGCCTGGAGGGAGGATGAGGACAGAGGGAAGGGGGAGAGGCCTAGGGCTGGAGTAGCCTGACAAGCGGAAGAGGGTCCAAGCCTGGAGCCGAGAAGGGGCGCTGGAGGTGATGAGAGGAGACCACCGTGGGGCTTGGAGGGTGCTTCCGGTGGAGGTGAAGGTCAATGATAAGCCAGGCCTGGAAAGTTAAATAGAGTATGTTTTCTCTGATACAAGAAGCCTAAAGTATAAATAAATGAATAAAATAAAGGAGCAATGATAGGAAACTAGAAGGTAGACTTGGAGACAGGAGAAGGATCAGGAGCAAGGGGTAGAAGAGGGAGGGATTAGAAATGATCAAGGTGTTTTATGCATGTACCACTGAATATCGCCGCTCTATATTTCAAACGTGTACTGATTACAACAAAAGAAGGCCAGTTTCGAGGATTTGATGAGAAGTGTGAGTGGAGGATGAGAGATACGGTGAATGCAGAAACATGGTGAAAGGAAGGGCGGATAGAAATGTATGCGGGTGGCCAGAAGAGCCTCAGCACTGGGGATAGATCATTTTAGGAAGGGAAGGGTTGAGAGTAGCCAGGGCCAAGTGGAAGGGGGGGGGCAGATGAAAGTCACAGGAAGGTAAGGGATGCGGAGAGGTCCAGGGGACTTGCGGGAGGGGGCTTTTCACGGGGAAGTGGAGGGGTGAGCCTCACAGAAGGTTGGCACGCCTGCACCTAGGAGATGGAAATCAGGTGATCTGAGCAGAGATTTGGGAACTACGGAGGAAAGCTGGCTACACGTCAGTCGAAATATTTCACAGATCATTGATCAGCCAGCCGGCGCTGAAAAGGCTGACTTATTTTGGCGTGAATCAAGAGGCTTGTTCTTTTTCTTTCAGTTTTGAAAGACAGTGTTAGAAGAGTGTCTTAGGAAAGGATGGCGGCGGGCAGGGAGGGAGGGGAGAGTGGAGGAACAGGGAGAAGGAAAAATCGGACACGGGCATCCTAGAGCCCTAGGCAAGGGTCAGGATGGTGCAGAAAATGTGCCATTTCCGGGAATGGCAAGGAAGGGAGGGAAAGGAGCAGTTTTGAGGGGCAAAAGTGCTGGTGACTGAGAAAGCATAACCATTTCCACCCAAACATACTCGGTGTCAATCAGAATCGGCCAGCAGCAATAGCAAAGGAGTCGTTTCTGTGCTTGCAGGACACGAGGACCAGGACCTGAACTCCGGCTGCGGCAGGTATATCCTGCAGGCCAACACGACCCAGTGCCCGGACACAATCATCTACATGTGCGAGTTCCTCAGCGGCTACGGAGCCAGGGTCGGCAAGGCCATCGAGGTGACATTCACCCCTGTGGGTAAGAGCTCTGTCCCTGAAGTGTTGGCTGTGGAGATGGTGCACTCATGAGCCAGCAGGGCAAGTAAAGCTGCCTCTCCCTGGGAGCCGCCTGTGATCGGAGCCAACCATACCCTGGGAGACAGAAGAAAGCTCCCTCTCTACCATTTAAATTCAGGGGGAAGCTTTTAAATTAGGAAGCGCAGGGATGAGGAGCCCTGGCTATGGGCAGGATGGGGTGATTCTCCTGTAAGGCAGAAGGGGGACACCGGGAGGAGCTGTAGGCTCAGTTCTCTCACTTTGGGTCCATGAGAAAGCCCCAGGCCCCTTTCCTCTCCCACAGCCCCTCCTTCCCTCCTGAAGTCCAGCCTGACTCCCTCCCCAAGAACCCAGTTCCCTTTGTTTCCTCCTCTCCCATTTCACCAGTTAACAGAAATAATGCTGCAGAAAGCTTTAATAACTTGATATTTTGTTACTATTTTAAAATTGAAACAGTGCTTTTTAATGCCTCAATTCAGTCTAGTTAGTATCAATTCAGTCTTAAAAGTATCATTTCTCCTACAAAGCATAATGTCACCCACAGCCTCAAATGTTTTTCCACCTATCTTACAAAGATGAACTATTTGGAGACATCAACAACCCCTTTTTCAAAACTTAGAGAAAGGACTGCTGAAAGCAGCACCCTTTGCATTTACTTGGGTTTTCTGCAATGGTGACTTAGCATTTCGACAACAATCACAGAATCCCTCAAGTCCACGTGATCTACACAGCTCTCGGTTGCTCCAAATACTCCTGCACTCATCTACAGCAGTGATGAGCTCAGATAACCTCATCCTTACCCAGGTTGCTCCTTGTAACTCCACTCCTATCTGCAGACTTGCTGCGTGTCTTAAGGACATGTTTATGCTTTGCTGGAAAAGCCCTGGTCTGGTAGTGTCGATGCCAGAGAAGCAGATTGGGATTCCACGAGGCTTTTCTTTCTGCTCTCAGAAACAGCGAACCCCTAAGGAGCTGTCTCTGGATCCCCATGGGCAGCGAGGGCCATGTTACACCATGCACACACGGCTTGAACTCTAGCTGCTAAAGGATGTGATGGTTTCTTTTGATTATGATTGAGAATAAGAGTTTACACTGGAAAAGCAGCCCTGCATAGTGGACTCAAGGCATGATGCTCTCCCCCTGTGAAAGACTGAAGTGCGTTACATTCCTGAAAGTCAGCCCGGCAGAAGATGAGCTTTGAGAGAGGGGGAAAGATAGGAAACTATATTATACCCACTGGGCCCCAAAATGTGGAACTAGGGGTGAGGGCAGGGCCAGGAGGATGGGGGTTATGAAAACAATCAATCTGCCCAAATGAAACCCATTAATCTGTAAAACAAATTTTAAAAGTGAAAACAAAGTAGAGCCAGAGGCCAAAATAGTGGCACAGTGCCACAAGCTTTTATGTTTGTTGTGGTCTCATGAACATTGTAGATGAAAATTTCTCAGGAATCTGAGGAACTTTTCAGACAGAATAGGGAATACAGTTAATTATAAATATATAATTTTCATTATATAATTATATAGAGTTAATGTTAAGGTGCTCGTATGTCTCAGTTTGCTCAAGATAGTCCAAATATAGTGATTCGGGCACTAACCTTTAGGGTTCCCCAATTGAAAATGTAGTTCCAGGATTCACTCAGGCTTATTGAGCCCTGACAGTGTACTGCACCTAACACTAAGGGCAGGGGACACAGGGCACAAGAGCAAAAGCTCACCTAGAGGGCTCCCAGGGTTACAGAGGAGAGATGTCAAAGCGGAGACGCCCCGTGGGGTGGTGGAAAGGTAGATGGGAGAGGAGACAGGAAGTGGTTCCAGGAACCCACCCTGATCTTCCCAGAGGCATCCACAGGCGGTTGGAGGGGATCTGGGGTGAAGTCAACAGCCCTAATGTGCTCCTTTCACCCTGCTGACCATCAGGAGATAATTCCACCCACAAAGGGGAAGAGCATGAGCCCTTGAGGCACACGACGGAAGGGAGTACAATTCACAGTGCCACCACCAGCAGCCTAGCAACCCAGAGAGCCCGGGAGCAGCCAGGTACCCACCCCATGCTGACATGGCACGGTTACCACGCCCTGCGTGCCGTCTCTCTCTTAAGTTCTACTCGCGGCAATGTCACCTGAAACACCAAACAATGGACTTGTTGTCAGCTTTGTTTTGTTTGTCTCCTTTGCATTCTTTCAGCCGAATTAATAATAACCCCGGAGCCAATTTCTGTTTCTGAGGGACAAAGCTTTTCTATAACATGCACCAGTAACGTGCGTAACTATGATGAGGTGTACTGGAACACTTCGGCTGGAATTAAGATCCACAAAAGGTTCTATGCCACACAGCGCCATCCTGAAGGAGCTGAGTCGGTGCTGACAGTGGAGACATCGACCAGGGAGTGGAACGGTGAGTGGATGCCACCCTGGGTCATGGGAAACTGAAAGGGACAAGTGCCGTCCCAGGCCTGCCCTGGACACACTTACGCCGGCTGCTCACGGTGGACGCTGCAGCCTTGGGGGACGATGACATTGCTCCACCCTACAGATGTGAGAGAAGCCAGGACAGAAGCAAGCATCTCCACCACGGGAGCCTGAGCTCTTGCCATTACATTAGGAGTGCTGCTCCCCCTAGCCCTGGAGGATGTCACTCAGAGTTGGAGGAGGGGGCTCATAGTATCATACTGCTCCTGATGCCAACAGCTCTCTTCAAAACCTCCTCATCCCTGCATCAAAATCCTCATTCATTCCCTGGGTTTATGGAAGAGCCTTGGAGTAGAAACTGGGACCACCAATTTGAAATTCAAATGTACCCCTAACCTGGTGTCAGCCACTTAATTTTATTTGAGCGTAAGTGCATACTTAGGGGGTCGTCACTTGGTCAGTTAGGTAGCTGGAGAACCAGGGGGGAGACTGACCCACCATTCCCTCCTCTGTGTCTGGGAAGGTATGATGAGTCCTTTCCCAAGTTGCACAGGGAGGGCTAAGCCTCCCCTTGCGCCTCTCCGTCTCATGTGTCTTCTTTCCACTCAGGAACATACCGCTGCGTATTCCGATATAAGAACACATACAGTGTGGCCACCAAAGATGTCACTGTTCACCCGCTGCCCCTGGAGCCAAACATTATGGTCGACCCTTTGGAAGCCAGTGGTTTGTGCACAGACTCCCATCACTTCAGGTGCTGCGTGGAGGAGGACGAGGACTACAAAGTGATGTTCCAAATGGGGTCTTCCTTCTTTCCCGCTGGTAAGACACAGACTGTGGAGCCCTCGGGGAGAGACTGTCAGAGACAGGATGCAACAGAGCAGATCCCATGAGCTGTCATTGTTTTGCTCTGTGGTTTGAGGCAACGTCTTTGGAGCCTGGGAAGGTGGGTCCGTCCTATGTAGTGGAGTGGGAGCAGTTGAAGGCAGTGTTGAGATACTGCTATGGGAGCCACCTTCCTCAAGGCGGCCACCTGGGTGGTTCGACAGCCTCCTTCTGTGCTTCGGGAGAGACAGCGGGACTGGAGATGGAGCTCAGAGCAAACCCTGCCTAGCACACAGGATGCCCTGTGTCCTCTATCTCCAGGACCCTGAAAGGAAAACGCAGACAACAATCCTCTTAAATGCATCTTTGAGCATGGAACAAAGTAAGAGAAATAACCAAGCACCAAAACCATGGAGGAAAAGAAAGTAAAAATGATGCTTTAGAATCATGCTGGGGCTTCTGTATAGGCATTTGCCAATATCAGGGGGGCATTTGCCAATATCAGACACACAGAGCCTTTGGGGGGGGCGGCAAAAAGAAGAGGTCTTGCCCCCTAAGCAGTAGGTGAGGCACCCACCCCACAGGCTCAGGGTCAGGACCTTCTAAGGGGGACATGAAACAGAGTCATCTGCCACAGTGAAGGGCTTGGCCTCATTTCTTGTTGGACAATGAAGATTCTGACTGTCCTGCCCTCCCCAGCTAAAGGCTCTGCAGTTTTACCATGCGTGTGGAGCAGGAACTCCAAGCTGAAGAGTCCTCAGCTTAAAGCTATCCATTAGTTAGTTAGCAGCTATGTCACCTGCCCTCCCCTTGCATCCTCTGTGGTAGAATAAATCCTCAGTCTGGGTCCCTCAGGAGTCCTGGGATGAAAATTACCAAACATGACCTCATAGTCACAAATCTCACAGCACAGGTATCTTCCCAAACTCATTCATTTTTTCAATAGCCGGAGGATTTGCTCAAGGCACGACATCATAATAAGCAACATAATAAGCAATAAGAAAAAAGGACTTAGGCCCTTATTTCAATATCTACCAAGGCCCGTGTCATTGACGGCCACACACAGGCTGTACATATTGGAAATGAACGCTGCTGGTTGGAAGAACAGTGCCAGTGCTTTTAGCAAAGCAGGGCTCTGGAAAAGCCTGCAGCGTTGAGAGAAGGCCACACAGAAAGGGTGGTGGGGTGATCCTGGGGATTGAGATATGCGAGGATCTGAGCAGCCCTGGTCCAGGCACAAATGCGCAGAACTTCTCAGATGGCTGAGCCCTGCGAGACGCCAGGATAGAGAGGAGCAGGGCGCCCTCTACAGGAGCGATGGGCTAATGGTGAGGAAAGACCCCGGAAGAGGAGATCCTAAACCAACGTGGCAAAGGCAGGCTGGGATGGAGCAATGCACAGGCCATGATGGGCTTTAGGTAGCTGGAGGGATCTGAACACTGTCAGAAGTTTTTTTCACAGCAATATGTGAAACACATTATGTGATCCATTCCTGGGAAAAGTCTGGACAGGCTTATTCACGTTGGGTCATCCTGACAAAGCCTGTGCTTTGGACTCTCGTGTTGTGACATCTTGTTCTCCATATCTCTGTCTTCAGCCAAAGAAGTGAAGGGAAAGCAAGTGTGCTACAAATACAGCTCCACGGCAGACTCAGTTTCCCAGTGTCCCAAAAATGTCGATGTCTTCTGTCACTTTACCAATGCTGCCAACAGTTCGGTTCGCAGCTCTTCCATGAAGCTCACTCTGGTTCCTGGTAAGGGCACTTTAAGTTGTGACTCATTCATCCATCTGTTCTCTGGGGATTGGAGCTGGGAGTGAGGCACGGAGGAAATAAGTCCTGTGAGGAAAAGCAAGCTCAGATTGTGGAAGCAGCTCTGAGTGGAAAGCAGTGAGGGCCACTGGAAAGCCAGCAACAATAAGCAATCAAGCGGACCCCACAAGGTCACTGACAATACAGAGAACTAGGAATGCAGTCTTATTCCCGCCCCCCCCAACCTGGTCCTGTCTCCTCCTTTCAGTGGTCCCTTGTATTTCCATTGTCCAACGCAGGGGAAAACATCACATGCCGAGACCCCGCCATCGGGGTTGGGGAGCCTGGGAAGGTCATCCAGAAGCTGTGCCAGTTCTCAGATGTTTCCAGGAGCCCTGACAGCACCATCGGTGGGACCATCACTTACAGATGCGTGGGCTCCCAGTGGCAGGTGGAGCGGAAGGGCTGCATCTCCGCTCCCATCAATGGCCTGCTCCAGCTGGCAGAGGTGAGCCCTGCCCACTGTGCTCTCTGTGGGGAGCCATCTGCCATGGCAGATTTCTCACACTCTGGAAAGGGGGCCAGGGATGTTTGGTGTCACTCCACAGGCTGCTCTTGTGTGCATATTTCCAGAGGAGACATGAGCCCAGAGATATTTAAATCCAGTAACTCAGGCAAAGCAGGTGCTCTGTTCAGAGAGGGCCACCCAGCACCGTGACCTTGAGCTCTCACCCTCTGTGTCCAGGCTGGGAGGAGCAGTGTGTTACACTCTCTGTCTCCCATCTCCTTTGAGTGATTTTGATGTCAAACAGCTATATTTTCAGAAAGAGGAGTAACACACAGCTATGATTCAACTAAGTGTTGAGCTTCGTGCTTTTACAGGTCTGAGATTCCTTCAATCCGTATTGGCACCCTCTATTTCTGAAGGGCTACTCTGCCTTCACTAGAACCCAGGTGGCTGCTATGTAGCAGGGGAAATTCCTGTCTTTTGATCAAAATAAATAAATGGCGCTTCTGCGCAATACACTTGATGTATTGTGCATTAGAGATGCCTACAGCTCCATGAACTACAATCAATAAATCCCTGAGATGCAACTAGTGCGCTTATAAAGAATGGTGATATCTTTAGACAAGCAGCTCTGATTATCTTACCACTGGAGAAAGGAAGAGCTGAGCAATACGGATAATACTGATTTGTGTCTTAGCAAATTATCTTCTGTCTCTCCGCTTGTCTCACACCAAATGCATTAAGATGGCCATTATGGGCAAAGCATAATTGTAGAGGCTGGCAAAGTAAAGCAATGAAGTCACCTTGGCCTCTGACGGTAAATAATAGAACTTACTCAGTGATTCACTACTTGAAACTTTTCCATTTGGGTTAGACCTTGATGCTTGAAAACATGACGGATACAAATCATCCTAAGCAAGGAAGATCGAAATTACAATCTGTAGCTACAGCTGTGAGAGATGTGTGAAGGGGTCCACAGCACCCATGGGCCAGAAGATTCACGCGTTTTTCCCTTGCTTGGGCTTTCGCTTTGCTAGGCTTTGATCAAGAGCCCCTCTCAGGACCAAAACCTCCCCACATACCTGAAGAATCTTTCCGTCAGCACCGGCCGGGAGGAGCTGGAGATCCAGTCGTCCCCCGGGAGCCTGGGCGCCGTCATCAACATCCTAGACCTGCTCTCGACAGTTCCGTCGCACGTGGACCCAGAGATGATGAAGGTGAGGGTGGAGCTGGGGCTCCCCGTTCACCCCTTGGGACTTGTTCAATCCGTCCCACTGCAGCCACCTCTGTGCCTCTTCTAGAGCAAGGACCTGGATATTAGAGTCTGCCAGCTACAGATTTTAGGACACCACGGGGTGTTGCCGGAATTCATTCTGGGCCCTTAAGAAAATCTCTTTAGTACATCTCTGCTTTAGGTTCTTTATTCAAATAGAATGAATTCCTGTAAGTTTTCCAGGAAAGCCAGGAATGAATGGTTTTCAGAATGTGTTCAAAGTAGGATTCAGGGCATGGCGGGGTCTTTTGAGGCTTTCTTGCTGGTGACCTGGCACCCACCAGAAGCCTCTACAGAATGGAGAGCTCAGATAAAACCAAACCAAACAACAACTGTCTCTGCCGGCCTGCTGAGTTGGCCTGAGCCAGGGTAGGAGGGGTATCTCGTGGTCACCAAGAGCTCCATGCAGCATCATAAGTGCCATCTGGTCTTCCAACTTCTTCCCCTTTACCCCCTTCCTTGCATGTGCCCCCTCAGCCTCCAGGGAGAGGTTATTTTTTGTCTCTTTTGTGGCTGCGTCACAAGGGGTTTTGTGGGTATGTCACTTATAGGACGTGCTGGCCACTGTGAATGTCATCTTGGGCGAGTCCGTCCTGGGCTCCTGGGAGGCTCTGCAGCAGGACCAGACCAGCCAGAGCTCACAGCTGCTGCATTCAGTGGAGCGGTTTTCCAAAGCCCTGCGGCCAGGGGACAGCACCTTGGTGTTCCTCCGCCACCCTAACGTGCAGATGGGAAGCATGGTCGTAAAACCCGGGAAGTCCCACAGCTACCAGCAGAATTTTCACTTCCCAGCGTCCAACCTCTGGGGCAACGTGACCATTGAAAAGCATCAGCTGGGAAACCTGCATCCAGAGTCCTTGGTGGTCACTGTGGCTTTCCCAACGCTCAAAGCCATCCTGGTTCAGGACGCTCAGAAAAAGCCTTTTGCAAACAGTTTAGTGATGACCACCACCATCAGCCACAACATCACCATGCCGTTTGAGATCTCCATGACTTTTAAAAACAACCACGGAGCAGGAGGGCAAATAATCTGCGTCTTCTGGAACTTCAGCCTCTCCAACAACACTGGGGGCTGGGACAGCCACGGGTGCCGCGTGAACAGCGTGGACAGGGACAGAATCTCCTGCACCTGTGACCACCTGACTTCCTTCTCCATCCTTATGTCCCCAGACTCCCCAGACCGGGGCTCTCTCCTGGAGATTCTGCTGGATATCATTTCCTACATCGGCCTGGGCTTCTCCATCCTGAGCTTAGCAGCCTGCCTCGTTGTGGAAGCGGTGGTTTGGAAATCAGTGACCAAGAACCGGACGTCCTACATGCGCCACATCTGCATCGTGAACATTGCCGCCTCGCTTCTGTTTGCTGACGCCTGGTTCATCGTGGTGGCCGCCATCCAGGATCACCACTACCCACTCAACGACATGGCCTGCGTGGCCGCCACCTTCTTCATCCACTTCTTCTACCTCAGTGTGTTCTTCTGGATGCTGACGCTGGGCCTCATGCTCTTCTATCGCCTGATTTTCCTCCTGCATGATGCAAGCAAGTCCACGCAGAAGGCTGTCGCCTTCTGTCTGGGCTACGGCTGCCCCCTGGTCATCTCCGTCATCACGGTGGCGGCCACCCAGCCACAGGAGGTCTACACGAGAAAGAATGCCTGCTGGCTCAACTGGGACGACACCAAGGCCCTGCTGGCTTTCGTCATCCCCGCGCTGCTTATCGTGGTGGTAAACATGACAGTCACAGTCGTGGTCATCACCAAGATCCTGAGGCCGTCCATCGGGGACAAGCCCCACAATCAGGAGAAGAACAGCCTGTTTCAGATCAGCAAGAGCATCGGGGTCCTCACCCCTCTCCTGGGGCTCACTTGGGGCTTCGGTCTGGCCACCGTGTTCCAGGGGACCAACGCCGTGTTCCATATCATATTCACCCTGCTCAATGCCTTCCAGGTGAGTTCTAGTCAGGGCCCTGGGGAAATTTTTGTGGGGCAGATGAATGGTGGAAACATGGACAGGCTCAGGAAGCTAGAGGGTTCCGTGTGGAGGAGGCCTCGACCCCTGCAGAGCTCAATGAGAGGGCAGGGCAGGGCATATCCCTCTGCTCCCAGGGACCTGTGACTCCTTGTCACCTGCCTCATAACTTAGCAGCACTGTGCCAGTCTCTCCCAAATGCCCTGATAATACAAGCAGGAGGGGAGTCACTTCCCTCAACTAGATGCTACTTACCTGAGACCTATCTCCAAAGGGAAAATACCACTACTAAGCCACTGTGTCCAGTGTCTCCATGAGTGCCCGTGACTTTTGTCTTCACTGTCCAGCACGGTGTACCTAGTGAGTGGTGAAGACCTCTGCCCACAGCAGGGTCCCCAGCGCCACCTGAAGTAAATGGATACTGCACACTACATGGTTTCTATGGAAACAGTTGTTGAAAGATGAAAGAATGGATGCCTATGAGTGCCGGGCAGTCTGCTTGATAATTATATAAAATGCAGATGCATCTCTGTTCTCCTGCAGCAGGTAACTAGTGAGAGTGCAGGCCGTGCTGCTGGAGAGCTGTGACACAGGTCCATACGACAAGCACAGGAAGTGGAGTGATTAATTCCATTCCACCCCCAGAGAGGGGTAGACGCAGGAGAATTCCCCAACTTTGCAAATGCCTGGGAGCTGTGAGGAGGCAGTGGGTCTGGAGAGGAAGTTGAAGTGTTGCTTCCGGATGCTTGTGACACAGCCCTGCAAACCCTAAGTCCTGCTTCTGGGCCAGTGGCTCTAAACTTGGTGGTTCTTATTTAATGATCTTCAAGCTGTGCCTCTATTAGAAAGAACGCATTATCTCACCCCAGGCCCCAGAGTCCCTGCAGGAGTAGGTGGGGAGTAATTTGGACATAAGCAGTGTCTAACAGCATAACCAGCAGCATGTGCCATTCCTCCCTAAGGCAATTAGAAAACAGTGTCTTGCTAGTTAGGGCCCTTAGTGTGGACCCTGGACTTCTCCCATAAACTCAGATGGGTAAAAAGCAGGAAGAATTCACCACCAGGTAATAAATAATATGTCCCATTTCTCGGGACAGTGGAACATGCTTAAAACGGGCTTCTTCTTCATCCTTTCCCCAGGGATTATTCATTCTACTCTTCGGCTGCCTCTGGGATCAGAAGGTAAGAACACTGACAGTTTTGTGTCTAGAAAAGCCAGAGGTGCTGTGGCAGGTTGAATTTACATGGCCTCTTTTCAATAATGCAGGTGCAGGAAACATTGCTGAACAAGTTTTCACTCTCCAGGCAGTCTTCCCAGCACTCCAAGGTAAGCACTCCCCCTGAGGACTTTTCCTCTTGTAGCATTGTGTCTTCCACTAATGTGAGGAAGTGCAGTACTTTTCACCTTGGGACTCTTATCAGTGGGGTTAAATACAAATCCCTCTACTTCTACACCTACTTTTGGCATAGATGACTGAGCAGTTTTTGCTTCTCACCTTGTTCTGCCTCAAATACAGCCATGGAGCTATCATTAAGATGCCACCCCACATCTTTAAGTAGGTAATTAAATGACAGATAAGCTAAACCGGAGGTTAAAATTAAACTTTAAATGGAAGACAGTGATCAGGGGCATACAGGATATTAGAGAAACCAACTTGAGCAAGAAGAATGGATAGAATTTTTTGTAGTTCAATTTGAAGCACGATTATTGTCTTAGTTTTCTGGTTACTGAAACAAAATGACATACGACTGCAACTTAAGGCAGGGAGGATTATTTTGGCTCATGTTTCAGTCCATATTTGGTTGGCTCCAAGGTGGGACTCCAAGGCAAGGCAACACGGCAGAGGGGAATGGGGAAGAAAAATCTGCTCAGAGCATGACCATCAGGAAGCAGAGAGGGGAAAGAAACACTGTAGACCCCTCCAGGCCATGCCCCCAGCGAATGCCTCTTGGTACCAGACCTCCAGTTCCTATCAGCAAGTCAGCTGTGACACCCCTGTATTCCAATCACCTTCTAAAAACCCAGCCTACTGGGCACACAAGGCTGTTGGGGGAGATCTAGATATAAACCAGAACAACTATTGTCCTTGAATGTAGTGGACTACCTTTCACATGGCAGGAAATACTAGCAAAATCTACCAAACAATAAAATATATATTTGAGCTGAGGGTGTAGCTCAGTGGTACAACGTGTACTTAGCATGCACAAGGCCCTGGTCTGATTGCTTGTGCCAATAAAAGAAAGAGAGGAGGGAGACGAGAGGAGGGAGACGAGAGGAGAGGAGGGGAAGGGAGAACAAATAAAAGAAACCCATGTATTTGAAAGCTGTTTTCCAATATGATTAAATCCCAGCATCTCCACGTGGCTGAAGGGGTGGGGCTAGAAATGCAGGGGAGTGACCACTAGAGGGCAGCAGACAACTCCTCCTGCAGACCCAGAGGCCCTGCTCTGACAAATCGTTTTTTCTCTCTTCTAGTCCACATCCCTGGGTTCAACTACACCCGTGTTCTCCATGAGTTCTCCAATATCGAGAAGATTTAACAATCTTTTCGGTAAAACAGGTACGTAGTGAATTCTGGGTGCTAACTGGTTGGCCCAGACAGGAGCTTCAACACTTCATCGGCATCCCAACACTTCACCGGCATCCCAACACTTCACGGCCTTTTCCGGAAATGGCCTCATTTAGGGCAGAGGTTAAATGGAAGAACTTGCTTGCAGTTTTACATGTTGCCGGGACGCTGATACAGAGGGCAGCAGCCTGATTGGTAATTAACAATCACTCATAAAGAGCAGGATTTGGGACACCTTCCCTCCCTGCTGGGCAGGGGCCTAGGCCGAACTCTGTTACCATGCTTAGAAAATCCTACTGCAGCTCTCTGCTGAGAGTTTCCTTCCTTTATCCTCTTTTTGTGGAATTTACTTGACTACACATTGACATTTATTAAAAAGTTGCATACAAAGGGGGCCAGGGATTTAGCTCAGTGGTTCCGCCGTCTGCCTCGAAAGCGCAAGGACCCGATTTCGATCCCTGGTACCCCCAAAAAAGTTGCATACAAGGAATCACCCGATTAGCTATTGTATTAGAAACACAGTGAATGCTGGAGACAGGAAGTAGATGGTGTTAATGACGATGGGCAGTGAGTCTCAGTCACTCTGGTAAATTGGAGTCCAGGTCCCACACCACTGCCCCCACTGCAAATCAAGCCCCAAAACTCTTTCCAGCTTCGTGGGACAGAACAGATCTCAAATACTGCAGTCCAAGGCTTCCCACAGGACGCAGATCTTGAGAACACTAAACCTCCAGACATTTTTGTGTTTTCTGAGTTATACATCCAACCAGCGGATTTTCTTTCTCATTTTGAAAGTCACTGGTTCAACCTGCCGGGAATGATCACGTCTCCAGGGCTGCCCTCTGCCAGCCCCGTCCATGGAGTGTCTTCACATTTGCATGGAAGTGAGAATAAGGAGAACTCTGTGAGATACTTCCATGGACTTGGAATCATGTCATATGTGCTTCTTGTTTCTGAATCGGATAAAATTTGGGTGCACGCTTTATCCCCAGGGTACCTGGATCTGAGACAGCTGATCACTGCCTCTGGATGGTGTCTCTGGGCTCAGCACTGCACCCTACATTGGCCTGGGGGGCCCATAATCATTGTGATTTTGGTTTATGTTGCCAGCAGCCCCCAAGATCCCCCCAGGCAGTGACAGAGACCTTGTTAGCAGTGGCAGCTCAGCAGTGTGATGGTAGGGTAGGCCCTTGCTCTCCCCGCGCCCCTACCCACCCCTCTCCCTGCACCATTCCGCCGCTGCCCATTGGCCTTGAAGCACCCAGCCTGGCCTCCCCGACAGCCCTGTTCTGCCCTATCTGTTGCTGGCCTGGTCTTCTGCTTCTTTCTGGTCTGCTTTTCCTTCCCCTGTGATTTTCTTTTTTGTCTTTTTCCTCCCTTTCTAAACCTTTGCCTCCAGCTCCCTCCTGAGAGCGTCCCGGAGTCTCCTGCCTGGTCCCGGTGGTGCATGTGGTGGCATGAGGAGAGGAGCTACCTGTCGGGGGGGCTCCCGGCGGCTTGCTCGGAGCAACGTGCCTGTGCCTGGTGTTCTCTGGCTTGCGAGCTCTCGGGCCCTGGACCTGGTTCCCTTGACCCCCGGGGTGTTCACACTGCCATCCACACAGGCTCGTCTGTGAGCCTCAGGGGCCACTCTGTCTTGCAGGAACATACAACGTGTCCACCCCAGAGACAACCAGCTCATCGGTGGAAAACTCCTCCAGTGCCTATTCACTGCTCCACTAAGCAATGAAAACTACAGCCATGTGGTCTCCTGGGGACAGCGGACACCTCTGCGAAGAGACCCGAGCAGAGCCAGGACACTCTCTGCAGGCGCCTGGGAGCAGATGCTGAAGAGACTTCGTCACCGAGACACTTCCTTCTGTAAGAACAGAGGGAAAGGAATTGCTGTGTCTGTTTCTGCTCCCCACTGCCCCTCCTGTGATGTCCAGTGTGTATAGTATTTAAGTGAATCATGCATCTCCCAAGGCCCAGCTTCTGTCTATACTGTAAAATAGAGTTTTAAAGAGACATTTTCATTTCTTGCCATTGGCTACAGTGATCAGCTTTGATTAAAATAATAAGCAAAAAATTAGTGCCTAGAAATATTTCAGTGAAGGAAGGAAAGGAGAGAAGAAGAGTGGATGGTAGAGAAGGAAGGGAATGGAGGGAGGAAGAAAGGGAGGAAGGGAGGGAGGAAGGCAAGGAAGAAAAGGAAGGAAAAAGAATAAAGAAAACCACACTAAGGGCCACAGTTTAAGATTACTGTGCTGATGATCTATAATCACTCAGAAACGACGCTGAGAGTAGAAAAAAATGCCCCCCAAATGGAAATTGAAAGTGAGCCATGGCGGAATGAGTTTGATGTCTTCCTGGTATTTTCCTAGCTAACAAGGAAACAAAATGGACTGGAAAAATGGCAGCGGGGGTGGGAACCATGTCCTGGAGTGGATAATAATCCTTACCAGCGACACCCTGGGGAGACTGATCTCCTGGTGCCAGACACACCCTGGGGCCTTGCTTGCCGAGGCCGGAGCAAGGGGACCGAGCTCGCAGGGTGGGCGGTGCTTCTGGGTCAGGTCCAGGGGACCCCACTGCTGACTGACCTCGCCGCAGTCTGTCAGAAAGGCCTCGGGGTTTATTCCGTTCTGAGTTTTGAAACAAAAGTTACGTCACTGACGAATGTTACATACTGCCCTGAAAATGGACTCCACCTGCCTTGCGCGTCGCAGTTCTCACCGAGCACTTTCCTGTGGGGCAGAGAGCTGGTCGTCATGGCCCGCGCGTACACTGCCCTTGCCTTACCCTGCTGTCGGGGGGTGGTCCTGGGTGCGCGTGTGGCCTGCAGAGGACCATTTCTCTCCATCTGTGCGTCTCCTGGCAGCCACACAGTCAGAGTTCCATGATGTCTAATTCACGTCTACTACAACCACTGGGAAAGCTCAGAGGGAGGCCACAGCGGCAGAGTCTGCCCTAACGGCCCTTTACCCTGACGAGCGAATGGCAGGACTTTCCCCAAGTGTTTGACTGTGATTTGTGTTTGTGTGTGTTGTTTGTATGGCTACACTTCATAAAAAAATACAAATATCCACTGAGACTGTATCCTTAGAGTTAAGTAAGTGCTGTTGGTGCCGCAGCCATACATTCTGAACCCGAGTCTGCTCCCCAGGGCGTGGTGACAGTGCAAATACGGAGCCAGCCACGGGACAGGACTGGAGAGGACAGAGGCTGAGATGCAATCGCCACTTGCAGCTTAACATCTGAACCCTTTCAAACCTCCTCCTTTTCTAAATTTCCAACTCTACTTCTGCTGTTCTCCGCGGAGGCGAGGAAGGGGCAGAGGCGGGACAGACAGATGGCCTAATGATGCTTAAAGGCAGTGAGCTGTCTCCACAGACCCACAAATTCCATAGACATCTGCTCCCGTGTTCTCTGGGAATTGTCACAGCGCCGTCCCAGCCCAGTGACTCATATGTAAAGTCCCTAGAGGACTTGGTCCATGGGCTGTAAATGATGGCGAGTTCTCCGGGGTTTACAGTCAGCCCCAGTGCAGAGTTCGGTGCAGAAGAGACAGGGATGCAGAGAGGCCGGGGGTGCTGGCATTAGAATCAGATTCCAGGGAAAGACTGACACTGACCGACTTAGGTCCTGTGTCCCAGTGAGGGCCACTGAGCCAGGGCTGCTGCACGGGGCTCGCCAGGCCATCTGGATGCCAAGGGACGCACAGCACAGCAGGTGGCTGTGGCTGTCCTGTCCGAAGTGTGAGAAGTGCCGCACCATGGCCCACATAGGCAGGGACCCCTCAGGACTTGCGCTGGATCTTGTGGCAGGAACACACACGGCAGTGGCTCCAGTGGACTCTCGCAGGAGGTAGCTGGGGCCTCTGCCCAGTCACTAGCACAGGTGTGTCGTGTCCCCTCACCCCTCGGCACATGCGTACACACAAACTCAGAGGCACACGTATGTGCACACGCACCCACACACGCAGAGTCACAGAAGCACATATGCACACCTGCACCTGCACACACACACGCACACGCACACACACACACACACACAGAGGCACACACGTGCCTGCACCTTTCCAGTGGCAGTGCTCGACCTGTATTCCAGGGAAGGTATGAAAACAGGAAATCAAAGAGGTGCCGGCTGGTTTTGCTCACTGCCATATACATACACACCTCACCTGTAAGCTCTCCCAAGAATCTCCGGAAACCAGTGCCAGAATTCAGAGCTGTTGGCCTACTTCCTACAGCAGCCAGCAGCAGAATCCAAGAATGACTTTGGCACTGCCCTCTCTGGCCCCCAGGTTGACAGTCCCATCCTCTGTCCTTCATCCTACTGGCCAGCCCCACTCCAGGAGCCCTGGGAAGAGGTGTTGGATTTGGATTAAAATCCTACATTTATTTGCTGTTTTTTCTGGACTGTGGGCATTTCCCCAGGCCCCAGGCACTCTCTCACAGCTGTCCTCGGCAAAGCACACGACAGGAGTCCTGCAGCTGGGGCTAGGAGGCAGCTGGCATCCAACTCTGCCCGCCAGCCACCCACCTGCCTCTCCTGAGGCTTGGTCACCACCTGGTGGACACTGGCCGCCCACCTTCCCACCTGTAGGGCTATGGAGTCATAAAATGCCATCATCCCCAGGTGGGAGGCTTGGTTCTGGTGGGATCGGCCAATGGGATCAGCTGTCAAGTGAGGACCCAGGTCCAAATCAAGTCCCAGTCTAAGGGTTCACCCCAAAGTCAAGTCCCGAGGCCAGCTGCAGGGGTCTCCTCATAGCCATTTTGATGAATTAATCCATCAATGCAAAGGTTACTTCCAGCATCCTTCATACTAATAACAAACCATCTGGTGTGCTTTGAGATGGTAATATTTAAAGTTTTGCCACAGTTAGTTCTCAGACTTTTAACTAAGAGCCTTCAACTACTTATGAATGACTCTGGGAACGCGTGGATGACAGGAAAGATCTCACATGGATAAGATGATCCAACACTAAGATATAGCCCCAGTCCTTTTGAAAATTTTTTTTTACTTTGAGACAGAATCTCACTAAGTTGCTAAATTCCCCAGGTTGGGCTGGAACTTGTGATCCTCTTGACTCAGCCTCCTGAGTGCTAGGATTACGAGTGTGCACCACTACACCTAGCTACTATATTTTTAAAGACCCTTTCCTTAGAATCAGAGGAAGATAATAACAAAGACTGTGAATCTCAGTTTCCCAGAGGAATCTTCACTTGAAATCCTTTAACAAGCCAGTAAAAGTTGTAACACCATTTTGTCTGGTGAACATTGAGTATCTGATTTATATACCCACAAGTGGATTTCCTTCCATATTCCTGATCTAAAACAGAAATAGGAGAGTTTCTTTATCTTGGTTATTCATTAATTTATTGGTTCATCCATTCACCATCTACTGAGAGCCCACTAGGCACACTCTGGGCATGGTGCGGCATGGTAATGAGGATTCTGGGTCCCTCCTGCTGGAGCTACAGCTATAGCAGAGGTGCTCACAGAGGATACACATTGTCACAAGACATCCCAGGTGTATTAGGAGCACACAGCATGGCAACAGGACCAAATGGAGGCAGAAAAATGAAGAGAATCAAACATGAGGCCGAGGCATGGTCCCTGGAGGCCAACGCAAAGCAAGCCCGCTGGAAACTGCCCAGACCGCTGACTGCAGGGAGGGAAGGTCAGAATGGAAGAGGCACCTCTGCAGCCTGGAAATCTCCATGGTGGGTCACGGCCTTGGGCTTTGGAGAATTATGGAGAAGATGGTGACTGTCAGGACAATCACACTGGCCACGCCTCCAATCATCAGGCCCAGGGTGCTGCCGTGCACCTGCATGGCTTGACAGCGCTCTCCCGTGTAGAAGAAGGCATGTCCAGAGGCACACCTGGGGAGGGAAGACAGGGCGTGTGGGGCTACGTGGCCTCAGGTGCTGCCTAGCAACAAGCACCATGCTGCAAGTACTGCAGTGAGCAGTTACTGAACATTCTGCGCCTGGCCATTTCCAAGCATTCACTAGACTCAACTAATTTAATCCCTCGACAACATTTTGCAGAAGAGGTTATGGTCAGGCTGTTCTCATCCTCCCCCTAAAGCCACAGAAATGGTAGACAATTTGCTCAGGGTCAGCTGGTTAGTGCTTCACACAGAAGCTTAACCCCAAAAGATGCCTTTCCAGAAAAGTGCTCTTGGCCACTGAGAGCGTAGGAGAAAGAGTGAGGGAAGATGAGAGCAGACACCATCTCCTGACATGGTCCTTCTATAAGACATGGGGAAATTTCCTAGGTAGAGCTTGGCCTAGTGCACTGGTTGGAACTTTACAACTTGCCAACATCAAGCCAAACGTCACCGTAAGGTTGGTGTTCTGCTAGGTGTCTCTCAAACTTGACCAGAAGTTCAGGCCCAGTCAAGATGGCTGACACACAGTAGGGCTATGATGGGATTAGAAATTCCAGCAACACCCAGGGTGCTGGGCACAATGTCCCAGAGGTGGGAAGGGATAACGTCAGGGGACAGGGCACGTGGGACTCGTCTGTTCTGGCCGTGTCAGCCCACTGCACAGGGCACACTCGTGTCCAGCTGAAAAAGCCACATCCTCAGGCCGTGTGGTGGAGGCCTTGGCCTAACACCATCGGTGTCCTGACCATCCTACCCCGGCCCTGCACCTACCTGCAGCTCGCCATGCCCTTCACGTTCACACACACGCCCTGGTTCTGGCACGGGTTCGGGTCACATGGGTCTCTGAAGTACTGTGGCCAGTTGTGGTCCTCCATGGGCCCTGTGTTCTCCACAGACCGCTTCCGTCGTTGGCCCAGGCTGCCTGGCGGGGCTTCATCCAACACAGCCTTTTGAGAAGCTCCTCGCATGGCCTGCTGCGCCTGTCCATGGAGCACAAGGCCTGCAGGGACCAGCCTCCTGTCTGCCGTGCGAACTGGAACTTCTGTTTGGCTCAGGTGGGTGAGGTCTGCAGAAAAGGGAGGCAATGATGAGGCCAATCAGGACAAATGACCGACTGTGGTTAACATCACTTCCCGAGAGGGTTTCCCCTCCAGGCCGCCTCTGTCCTTCACGAACACCACCCTTAGTGGTGTAGAAAAATGGCTCTGAATCCAGCTTATTTAAATTAAAGTAGTCCGGTCATGTGTTTATGTACTGAACTTGCAAAATGAAGCATAACATTAGACTGGAACGAACCTGAAGTCAGCAAACTGTTATATTTGAGAAATTATCGAGAAAGATAATGCTTTAGAAGAGGACATTGTGCTTTATACCAAGGGTAAGTAAAGGTGTGGTGAAAATGATAGATGCTTTTGGAGGTGCTTGATTGGAACATGAAGAATACGTGCACCAAATGTGCCAAGGTGCTCTATAAACATGTACAATTTTTATGTGTCAATTAGCAATATTTAAATAGGAAAAGATGAGGAAAGTACTTCTTGGCCAATTAAGTAAAACGTGGTTCTTTTTTTCCCCCTTTTCCATTTTCATTTTAAATCTCATTTTCGAGAAAGATCCCTACCTTCCTGAAGTTGCTTAAAAATCAGTAGGACAGGCAGAGCCTAGAATTATTTATTGATTCAGGAAGATCAGCAAAAGTACCTTCAAAGTCCACAAAAACAATGAGGTCGTCATTTTTAAGGAAACTCCTCCTTTTCAGCATCTGGTGGGAGATGGAGTTGCTCCGGCCCCCGTCAATGCCCCTAAAGCAATCGCAGTCCTTGTCGTAGGAGCCCACTATGGATGGCCTGTCCCAGATGACAGAGCCGTTGATTGCTGCACGACAGGCGACATAACATCACATTACCTTGTGGAAGTCACTCTCCAATGTGCCTTGAATGAGCACCCAAGGCTTTGTTAATCAGAAAAAACATATATATTGGAAAAAGTCAGGTTATTTGCTGTCTTTTGTAGAATTAAAATTCAGAATTAGGAGGCCAGAGGCAGAGAACAGCTCTGAATGAATCTGTGTGTGTGTGCATGTGTGTGTGTGTGTGTGTGTGTGTGTGTGACTGCTGACATCCTTCAAGGGGAGCAGCCATAGTCTGATCTTTTTAATGCTCATGCTTCTTCTTTTGATCAAGTAGTTTGCACATTTTGTAACTGATGTGAGTTTATTTCATGGACACACGGACATTGAGAAATATTTCTGAAATCGGTTCATCTGCCCTGCACAAAGCCTGGCGAGCTCTGAGGATCTGACAGTAATGAGCAGCACCTGTTTAATTCATCTGAGCTGGGGAAGACAGGACCACCTGGGCCCTTGTACTCTGTGTTCCTGGTACAGAGCCTGGCACATCATCGGCCCCCAACACCTGCTTGAGGAGTAAGAGGGAAAGAGAAGGAGGAAAGCACAGCATTGAAGATTTTAACCTAATACTCCAGTGTGAGTGTGTTGTTAGCACATGGGACCATCAAAATATACAGTGAACACTTAAAGTTTAAAGTTTATTACAGTAAAAGAGACATTGCCACGAGTCTCCCTCAAAACATTCCACTTCAAATACACTTTATCCCACCATTCTGGCCTCTTTCTGAACCAGTTCTGGAAGTCCTCTTTCTTCAGTGTCTATGAGGTAGGTCCAGTCAAAAATATAGTGAATATTGAGTGCCATCCAACAGAAAGGCAGGCTAAAGAAAACACCGTAGCATGTCCTCGTCCATTTATTCACTAGATCTGGCACCATGAGACCCCTGGCTCTTGCCTCAAAGTCAAAATGACCATGAAAAGGAAATGCTTTGAATCAATAGGGGACATGGAGGCAGCCATGACATCACAACTAAAGACACTCCGGAAAGAGGACTTCAGAACTGCTTCAGAAAGGGGCGAGAATGATGGGATGAGTGTGTTTAAAGTGAGGGGGAGTATTTTGGGGGGGATTCGTGGCAGTGTGTCCTTTTTCGTAATAATTTTTCAAGTGTAGGTATTCACAGTATTTTTTGATTACACCTTATACACATAGGGGGAAAAGTGTAAGAGGAATGTTGTTCTTTTTTTTTTTTTTTTGGTACCGGGGATCGAACTCGGGTTCTTGCGCTTACACAGCAGGCGGCGAACCCACTGAGCTAAATCCCCGGCCGAATGTTGTTCTTCTTACACAGATGTGAAGAACATCTATCAGCCCCTCCAGGCTGAGGGGCAGTTCTTATTTATGCCCAAACCACTGACCTGAAGATGTGTGCAACAGGGAGGTGGTGAGCATCATGCTGAAGGACATCCTGTTCTTGACATCCGACTCTTGGTCAAGTATGGTCACGATTGCCTGCCTGTTCTGCACTGGCCACTCCAGGATAGCATCGTTCTCCCCACTGCACAGGTGAAAAGCCACACTCATGAAGCCAGAGGCACTGGAGGTCACTCTTCCATGGGGGTACAAGGTCACCCCAAAACCATATCCCTCGGAGTTGTAGAATCGAGGGCTCAGGAGCTTGTCCCCTTTCATGGTGTTCTGGAGGACCTGGGAGATGTTCCGCACTGTCCACACCCCTGCTGGGCAGGGCGTCTCTGTCAGAGTGATGTCGTCCAGGGAAATGCCCCCAGCCAAGTTCTGAGGGTCGCCTTTCGTGCCCTGGAACAGGTATCGAAACTTCTTTTCCTCTTTGAGTGTCACATGGGCAATTTTCCAATTATGGTCAGAATCCCCTGAGGACAGAGAACAGCGGATGACAACTGTGGGAAACACTTAATGGGCACTTGCTCTGCATGTCAGCCTGTGCCAAGATTGGCTCGTATGAACCTCACAGCCACCCTGCCAGAAAGGCACCATCACAGACTGGTAAGTAAGTGCTGTCCAATCCCCTGTCTAGAAAGGAAAAGTAGCTCTTTAAAGACATCCCACCCCATTCAAATCCCAACAGTGAATGTGCTTTCTGCTGTCATTTAACTTCCCAGGTTCTGAGTTTCCTTCTGAAACCAGTTACCCATTCTAACACTAAAATCTCCATGTATTTGGCTGAACCATGTGCAACAGACGTTTTGTGAGTCAAAAGTCAAATAATGGCAACACCGTTGGGCCTTCCTAACATGAAGGGTGTAGCTCAGGGGTAGAGGGTTTGCCTGGCATGTGCAAAGCTCTGGGTTCAATTTCCAATACTGAAGCATAAAAAGGTTTTCAACCTTGGCTCTCAATTTACAGCCAGCTGCTCCTCCCACCCTCCTGCTATCCCGGCAGTTCAAAGCTTTCCTGCCAACCTTCTTATAGAAACACACAAAGCAACACCCAGGCACATGAAGGCAGTGGTAGTGAAGTTAATGGAAGCAAATGGTCAGATTCCCTCCACTGAGACAAGTAGATGGGAGTTGCATCAGCAGATTAAGCAATGACATCGCTCATTGTTCTCAGACAGTTGGGAAGACACTTTGTACCCAGTTATTTAACTACCCTGTCTCCAGGAACATCAATTCTACATCCCTTTTCCCTTCCCACCTCCCTCTCTGAACCTTCCACTTCTCTCTCCTGGCCCTGCCTTTGTCCAAAGCACTAGTGAACACTGGATTTAGAAACACTGTTATTTTCTTACAATGCTGCTTCTAATTTTTGAGGAGTCCAACATGCACGGAGGGTTTAAAACTTGCAAGACATCATGGGAGGCTCTAGGAGAGGAGGAGGGTGGAGACAGAGTGGGAAGAGGAAAGGGGAAGAAAGGGGAAGAAAGGAGAAGAGAGCACCTTGGAAGGTTTGCAATTTGACCAGTTTACGGACGTTCCCGGTGCCATCGTCCCTTCTGACCCAAACGACCAGTCGATCCGAGGGGCTCCCTGTCATTTTATAAAAAAACTGCAGGCACTGCTGCTTCCTCTTTGGGTAGAGAATCCGCGACTCCAGCAGGGCCGCCTCTTCCATGGCTCCTGTCCCAGTGTCAAAGTGCATGGAGTAGCCGGCACCTGCAGAGACAGCAACCCAGCATCCATGTCTGGCTTCCCAAACCCCAGCCGCAACCCTTTTCCCTGGAAAGGTGACATGGGAGAAGCAGCCTTATCCAGCAGCAGCAGCTAACACTCTTCTGAGGAAAATCCAAAGGTCATGGGCAGTAAGCATCCTGCCTCAGTGGACACAGTTACTGGCTAACACTGTAAGCTCACTGTTGTCCTCCCCTTGCTGGGGTTCCCAAGGGTGTGAAGTGTCAGCCTCTGAGTTCAAGAAACTCAGGCCCCTGCCCAAATTTCTGGAATGTGGTGTCTGTGAGGCAAACTCAAAGTTTCTTCATCAGCTCCCTCGCCTAAATCAGGCGAAGTGTAGATGTCTCGCTGGATCCAGAACCACAGGCTTAGGTTTGGATTTATTTATTTGCAATGGCTCAGGGATCAATATCCCTTCTCCCTCAACCCTTCCCCTACCCCTCCCAATTCCCCTGCTCTTTTAGACCTTTTCTTCCTGTTACACAATATCAGTTATACATTTTAAAAATTACAATATTAAGATCTAGGAGACATTACCACAGATTTTACAGAATTTAAAAGGATATAGAAAGTATATTACAAAAATCTTGTTTGAGATAAATTTGACAACTTCTGAGAAGTATCTTGGAAGACAAATTAATGAAACTAACTCTGGAGGAAATATAAAATTTGAATAGCACCTATTAAAGAAAGTATATTCCCAGCTTGAAGACCTACCTATATGACAACAGCAGGCTCATAAACATTTTAACTGATAAATTGTATCAAACAATTAAAGCAGAAAAAAGAAGGAACACTTCTCCCCTCATTTTAGGAACTCAACACTGTGCTAATCCTAAAACTGGATAAAGATAATAGAAGAAAAAAGTATGAACGTAAATAGAAATTTGTTTAACAAAACAAACTATTAGAAGTCAGATCTGGCAGTATGTAGAAAGTGGTTTTGTTATAGGGATGGCAGTGTTGGTTCAGCATTGGAAGATCCACCCCCAAAAGTCATCATTTTAACGGAGGAAAGGAAAAAGCCATATGATCCTGTCATGAATTGGAGAAAAAGTATTGGACTAAATTCTACAGCTGTTCATGGTAAAAGCTATCAGGAGACTAGAAGTAGAACAGAACCTTCTCAACAGATTAAAGACATGTACTCTATACTTCCAGCGAGAACGTCCTATATGAATGGAGAAGATACAATGCTTTCTCCTTAAGGTGGGGAACAAGGGCAGATATGCCTACTCTTCATCTGTCCATTAAACTTTGAAACCTAGTCCCCACCAAAATCATCTGGCAATAAAAAGGGAAAGGAAAAAATATGAGAAGAGGAAAAAAATGGAAACAAGGTCTTTGCAAATAGGGAAGGGAGGGCAAGGGAAGGGGAAAAAATAAGAACCAAGAGACTCATGTAATTGTACAGGATCCCAATGATGAATGTAACTGTATTTTATACCTAAAATGTACCAATAAAATTAATGTGGGGGAAAAAAATAAAGTTTCCATTCTGATAACTCAAAAAAAAAATATCCCTTGTCTCTACCCTGATGGCTGGTGTTTTACTGGTGGTAAAGAACCATCTTTACTACGCCAGAAGACTCGAGGGCAAAGGGAAGCATCAGAAGAATGCAGAAAAAGAAGGCAAGGAACATCTCTGTTAGTGCCACAGCCAGGGTTTGCCTAATTCTGATATCTCAGACCTCCCTAAAAGCAAGCCAGTAGCTAACCAGTCAGGTCTCCTGGAAAGCCAGCACACTTTCAAAGTAAAGCACATCCCCAAACTCTTGCCTAGAAGGAGGCACTTTAAATTATTGTCAGCCCTCAACACCTTCTCAGGGAAACATTTCACAAGGTGGACAGCAGGTGACCCCTCTGTACAGCTGTGGGTGTCAGCAAAGCTCCCGTCTCCCCTGGCTCTGCCCTGCCTCATGCACAGAGCCCACACTTTCTATGTTGACCACAGGCACTGGTGGCTCATGTATGGTTTCCAAAAGGCTTAAAAATATCTGAACGGCTTTAATAGTCTTCAGAGGAAGTTCTGTCCCCTTGTGTGCTCTTCCCAGTGCTTAGCTCAGAAGCCCCAGCCCTCTGCAGCATGACTTACTGAGTACCTGTGCTGAAGAGAACAGAATCTCATGGGCCAGAGAGTTCCCCAGGCCGCATCACAGAGACCTGGGACTCAGGAAGCTGGACTTCCTCCCAGCTCCACCATGGACTGGATTCTTCTTCCCTCTGTTTCAGATGCAGTGGATCTGTCCCACAAGGTCCCTTGGGCTCTTTGGGTCCAAGTGCCTGCCTGAGCATGGGACACTCTCTTTGTGATGGGACATGGTCCCCTTAGATGCCCTCATGGAGGAAGCATGAGGGAGGGTCAAGCTGACACGGCAAAGCATGCATACTTCTTTCTTCTGGGGTATGGTCCTGTCCTTTCCTACTATGACACTAGAACCTTCTTCCACCAGATCAAGAAGATTATGTTCCTGTCTGTTAGCCTCACAAGGAGGGTACATCAGAGGTTGCCATGGCTACCTAGATGGAATTTCTGGCTCATTACCCTTTGGACACTTGGGATGGCACCTGTGACAATCTTCTGTGTGACTGAGACTATTGCCCTTGCCAAGGCCAGAGGAAGAATTCCCTTGGTAAACTTTTATGACCTCTGGGACACTCACTGGGAGCCTGGCATCCACAACAAACCCAGGTCCCCTCTGGGAAGGAACCAACTCTCAGACAGACATGGCCTAAGCCACTTCACTGTAACCTTCAAAAGCTAGCACATCTGTAACCACACCCACTTCCAAAGAGGTGAGAGGTGGTTTTCACAGCAGACACACAACAAAAGAATGTTAAAATTGAAATAAAAATAAATGGAGGGGCTGGGAGTGCAGCTCCAGGGTAGAGTGTTTACCCAGCATCCAAGAGGCTCTGGGTTCCACAACCACCATCACAAAAAAAGAAAAGAGAAAAACCAAAGAGAAAAGAGAGAGAGAGAGAAAGATAGAAGGGAAAGAAAAGACAGCAAGGAGTAAGCTAGTGGGGACTTGGTACATGGCCTTCTGTGAAGTAAGCACCAATATCCTGGTGTTCAGGCACGCAAAGACTTTTTTTTGTTCAAAAAAGCACACACACAGCAGCAACTTTCTATAGCCCCAAATACTAAGTGGCAAAGCCGGATTTCAAACTCAAATCTGCCTGACTCCTGGGCCTTTTTGCTACACAAACCGCATCCTGGAATGATCTGAAGTTGCGCTCTTGGATATTAGCAGCCACCAAACACCTAGGGCTGCTGAGGGCCGGGTGTGGCAGCTCCCAACTGACATGTGCCTCAGGGCAAGAGACAACCAGATTGCAGGTAAGTGACACAGAAAGGAGAATGTCTCACAATGATGTTTATATTGGTCACGTGTTGGGATGCTAATATTTTGCATACATTGGGTTAAATAAAATATATTGTGAAAACCAATTTCACCTGCATAAAATTTTATCTTTCTATGTAGTTATTAGAAAATTTTACATGACATATGGGCTAGCATTGTACTTCTAGTAGAGAGGACATTACCCTTGCTTACCAGGCCACGTCTTACCAACCACATGTCCATGTGACTTTCATCGAGGCCAACATACATCTTGCTTTTGCACATGCAGAGCCCCAATGCTCTTTATTGAGTTAATAACTAACATAAGAGAAGTGTTCTTTGTCCTTGTTCAGATTTTCAGGGTTGATGATTCACATTCTGAGAGGGGCAAAACATGCTGACCTCTATTACCTAAGCAACCCTCTGAACTGCTCACTTCACCACCATGCACCTGTGCACCGGCCGCCCAAGGTGTGGTCCCCTTGTCCGGCCTGTGTGCTGTCCTCGTGGACCCAGTCTGCATCATCTCTTGTGCCCTGGATCATCCCACAGATGTTTGTCTTCTCAAAAGTACAATGATCCAAAAGGGTGTGAGTCGAGGCTGCAAATGACATTTTTGTCAGGTGGTTAAAAAGACAGAATGCAGCTCAGCCAAGTAGTTAACGAACATCTTCAGCCACTAAAACCTCACTGGCCAAATACAACAGGAGCATGAACCTCTCATTTTCTGGATTTTTTTCTCAAAGGGAAATCTGAATGCAATCAGGTGGATCTCAGAATTTGTCAGCATAGACACAGACCTACCTGTCTTGCAGAGCCAAGATAAAAAGACCTCTAAGCATTCTTCACTATGTGAAAGTCAACAGGGACTCCTCCAGATCAGGAACAAGGTACTTATAGTACTGTACTTAGTGGACTTAGTGCCTGCTTTATTGAACCGAATTAACGATTGCATCTTGAAGACCAGGGGGCTTGTCTTAGAAAACATCCCACCCAAAGGTTTAGGGAGTTCTACCAATAAACTAGGTAAAGAATGTTTCAGGGCACAACAACTTTCAAGCCCTTGCTCTGTTGTGGCCTTTATATAATTATGCACCTTTCAAAAGGAAGCTAAAGAAGACAATTACAGCTCCTTGAATTCTTCTAATACTTTTACTTTATGAAACATGAGTCCATAACTGATTTCTTGGCCATCCTGTGAGGCAGGTGCTATAACTTTCAGGTCTGGAAGTAGAGCACCTTCATTATGGGGTTTATCGTGTTCTCTTAACCAGAACATTCAAGAAGAGTGAAGGGAAATACAAAAAGGAAACTAAAGCTGAGACGGCTGCTCCTAGCCCCAGCCCAGACTCACTGCAGTTGTACATCCGGTTCAGCCTCTCCAAGTCGATGGCGCTGAAGTCTAGGCGCTGCCCGATGATGGAGTTGAACTCGGGGATCTTGGTCGTGATGGTGGGGACATTCTCGTTCTGGTTAAATGAGAGCGGTCCGTAGTGCATCAGTGACTCGTAATCGTAAGGCGTGTTGAGGTCTGTGATGAGACTGTCACTGTAAGTGTTGAAGTTGTGTTCGTAACCTGTTGGGGACGGGGTCCACAGTCAGAGCAGTCAGTTAGTATCTCCTTCAACCTTTCCTTTCCAGCCAGATGCTCAGAGACTCACAAAAGGGAAAGAGTACATGTTTTATTTAAACAGATAAACATAATTTATAGTTACTATTATGTATGAATTAATAGACATTATTTATTAACCAACATGCTAATATTATGATGAAATAATATGTATAAATTAATGGGAATGACCATAAAATATCTGTTGTAGTATATAAAGTATATATTATATATTATAAATTATTAAATACATGAATATAGTTAAGTTAAGGATGCATTGTAAGTGCGTGCATGTGTGCTGTCAGAAGGAGAAGGTAAAATAGCAAATCTGAGGGAGGTTTTCCAAAAGGCAGGAACAGGTATTTTGAATTCAGGAAAATGCTGGGGACGGATCTTTCCAACGGCCAACCACCTCGGTCCCTGAGTCTGCCCATCTCCGGGCCTGGTCAGGGATTAGGACAGACTGAGGAGGGAAGGGGAAGTGGGGTGTGCTAAGAGAGGTGCCCTACTAACCGGACTCACACCCTGTGGTCCAGAAACACCTTCAGGGAGAGAAAAACAAAACAGGAAGAAGAAAATGTATTTTCCCGTCCAAATAGGGAAGATTAGTCTTTTTCCGAGATGACTATGAAGTAGGTAGATGAGCTACAACAGAACGCTGAGCGAAACACCTGACCGGATGTTCTTTAACTGACCAGCTGCAGTCGGGGAAGGGCTCACGAATTTTACTTTCCTTCTGGGGAAGTGATAAGAAAACCAGAGAGAGCATTCATACCTTCCACCCCACATTCTTCTCCTTCTCTGGCTCCCCATCCAGCTGACTTTAACACTTAGAGGGGAGAAAGGGAGCGGCTCACCAGTACCTCACGCACAGGTACAGGCAGAACCAGGAAGCATGGTGTGTCCCGGAGGAGCCAGGGACCCTTTCCCCCTTCACAGCAAGACCTCACTCAGTGGCACAGCCACAGTGGTGATGCCCAGTTCTCCCGCTCGAGGGAACTTCTGGGACTCAAGGCATGTTCAAAGTAAGTCATCCTTGAAAGACATAAATGACTCGTGCAGGACAGAGGGAAAGCGACTCCTCCCAGAGCACATGGTGCTAGGATGTCACATGAAGTGACAGAACTGTGACGAGCATCCAATGGTAAGGACTAGCCTGCAGCCAGAGGCCCCCAATCTGGTGAACCTGAGGGGCACTGGAAGCAGGAGCTTTCCACTCCCTGAATGTCTTAACTTCCCATACAATCATCAGGTTGGAAGGGATTATTTTATTCCTTTTTAATCAAGGATTCTTATCAGAATGGTTTACAAATAAGTGACTTGAGTAATTTTTAAAACTTATTCAGTGCATTTTGTGCTGCCTGTGAGCTGCTAGGATCCATGTCAGGAAGGCAGTGGCCCAGAAAGGCACAGGGTCATCCTGCCTCTAAGGGACTGATGGTCAGAGCCCCCTGATGGGAATTGATCCTGCACACCAGTCATCTGCAAACTTCCTATAATGGGTCAGATAGCAGATGTTCTAGGCTTTCTACCCATATTTTTCTGTCACTGCTACTGAGCTCTGCAGTTGCTGCAAAAAGCAGCCACAGGTGACACACAAACCAATGGGCATGGCTGTGTTTCCATAAAAGCTCATTTATGGGCTGGAGTTTGCCAACCGCTGTGAGACCTCAGAAGCTGAGTTTTTCCTTAGTGCAAAGGAAAAACCACAGTTATGACTCAGGACAAGGGGATGGGCCCAGGAAGAGAAGCTGTGTGGCTGGTACAGTATCCTCCTAGGTGAAAAAACAGGACTCGATCACTCAGAATGAGGAGCAATAAAAGTCACAGATGGCCCGGAGAAATAATACTGCCCTTGTTTATGCTCTTGGGTTTCATGTTTCCTTGGAAACAGGTCTGCAGTGATTGCATGGAATCTAGATATGAGGAATTGCACCAGATGAAAAGTAAGATAGGAGATAGGCAACTATGTATTGCATAATCCAGGCTCAGGCAGAGCTCAACAAGTCTGCAAATCACCCTAGCAAAAGGGCTGGCTCTCTGGAAAGGGGATCTAAGATGGCCTAAACCCATCTAAAAAGGATTAAGCATTGTCTTCTTCAAGACAGAAATGGAAATGTTTTCTGATTTCTCATGAGATTTTCAGCAAAGCCAAGAATATGTGCAGGAAGGTAAGAAACTCAGATGGTAGGCAGATTAGACAAGGCCAGTGGTACCCTGTGTCTCACCGCCAGAGGTTGGGTCCTTTGACCCGACTCCAGACCCCTGTTCCCTCTGCACCCAAGCACACTGAGTTATGGTACAAGGTCTCATCTCTGCGTGAACAGGCACAAACACTTTCCTAGATTGGACTGGGAGGCAAAGATTACACTTAGCCTCTAGCATAGTGGTCAGCATAGGATGCTTTCGAAAAGCACAAAACCAATTCTGGTGTGCCCAGGCCACCATACCATCAGCATGCCCAGGCCACCATACCATCAGCATGCCCTCGTCCAGCCTCTGGAGCCGTGGCCAGTTTCACACACAGAAAGTTGCCCTAATACCCTTAATATGCTCATAGGCAGGAATTTTAACAAAATCACTGGTGACCCTCACATTGTATGGGCTCACTCTTCACATTCCCCAGGATCCTTTTCCGCATCACTTTTGATTCTAGCGCAATAGCCCTCAGGGGGTTCTCAGCAAGCCGCACTGAGGAAAGCTACCCCCACCCTGCCACACCAGGCTTCCACACACCTGGGATAATTTCATCCCACCAGATGGTCACATAGTCATTTCGGTCGGTCCTTGACTGCTCATGGTAAAACCCCAAAGCATGCAGGATCTCGTGCTCGATGATGGCTTTATAGTCGCACCCCGCGCCAATGGAGAGGTTCTGTCCCACATGTTGGTTGCCAACCATAGACCAGCACCTTGAAGACCAGGAAAAGGAAAAATTTTCCTAGAGAATTCTTAGCTGCAATTCAGGGGATCCCAGAACACAGGCCAGAAGAAATCTAGGTTTGATTTTTAAAAAAAAAAATCATATTTCTTTGTAGTGAGATGACTCAAAACATTCTCTTCCGGTGATTTGGAAATACTCAATGCAATACTGTTGACTGCAGTCATCCGACTGTGCAATAGAACACCAGCACTTGCTCCTCCAGCCTTGAGTCCTCATCACTAAACTTTCCACTTGCTCCTCCACCACCCCGGCAGGCACCCAACTGCAAACCCTCTGGGCTCTAGGACCAGCCTGAACTTCCTTGTACCTCCAGAGTAGCAAGCTTCTTGGTACACAGCAGATGCACATCTTTTTAAAAAATTTTTATATAAAAGAACAAGCTAAGAAAAGATCTACTCGGATAAGCTAGGTATTTACTTTGTATCATCAGTATTTTGCTTTTTGATTTGTTACTTCTTTGTGTACTTTTTTTGCATAAGAGGCCAAATTATATGCTGACTTCCCTTTTCATCTCTGTTATCCATCCATGATCAATAGAACTCCAGGGTCAGAACTGGATGATCTATGGGAACAAAACTTGGAGACAGAAATGCAGCATGAGGAAGACTTCCAGGTGATGGCCTTGCTTCCCAACCTCATCTAGCTTAAGTTGGTTGACACACAGAGCACTAAAGAAAGAGTGCTTCTTTCTGAACATACCACCCATTTATTCTTAGAAATAAACAACTATGGAGAGGAAATGTATATCTAGAATTTTTCATAGAGTAATTAACAGAGTAATTAACTTAAAATAGGACCACTAAAAGGGTGTCATTTATAGTTCAATAAACTTGATCTTAAAAAAAATACTGTAAGTTAAAACACAACCTCACCCTAGGAGAAGAATTGAGACACATTTCTCAGGGGCCCAGACTTATCCAAACAGGATATAGTATTCTCTGTTTAGCATATTAAAAATATTACACCATTTACAGATTCACAATGAAAGATTTAATATTTGCTAGTAGTTTTTCTTTTAGCTTGTGAAATAGATATGTAACTTTTTATAAACCAAAGGACACATGACCTTCACACTCTAATATTTTGTACTAACCCAGAAAATTGCTGAAAGATGATGTACGAGCTCTCTCCTTCATAAGGCTTGAAATCCACGCAGGACTTGAGGCGGAACATTTCGAAGGCAGAGAGGATGGCTCCTTTGGCATTGAGCTCTGCAGAAATCGGTAAGGACATGCCTAAGAATTACTTATCTTGGACAACAGACACAGAGAAAATCACACCATTATGTGAAATCCACAAAGGTTTGTTGCAGAAGTTTCGGTAGTAAATAGATCCTTTGGAAGCTAAAACTGCATAATTAACGTGAACACAAACATAGCGTGCATATTTTATTTTATTTTATTTATTTATTTATTTTGGTACTGGGGATCGAACTCGGGTCCTTGCGCTTGTGCAGCAGGCCGAGAAACCACTGAGCTAAATAAATCCCTGGCCCTAGCATGCATATTTTAAACGTGCCCTGCAAGTACGAATGTACAGTAGGAACACACACAAGTGTACGTGGCTGGAGAAAGTCATTTACTCTTTTCCTTTCCCCCATTCAAGCAGATGTTTCGAGCATGTTGCCTTAGGATAATTCGTGGCAGAGCAGAAACACAAGTGGTCTGTAAGTGGCTCAGGCTTTTGCATCCAAAGATAAAGAACTTCGAAGAGAAGTAGTGAAAACAGTATTCCTTGCCCTACACGAACAGGATATTCTCACTAGCCGAAGGCAGAGAGCATGGCTGAGGGAGGTTTGTGGGTTCCTAAAGTGAAAGAAGTACATACGGCACACGAGAGATGGCAAGGGAGGCAGCTCATTTAGACACACTCACACTCACACTCACACTCAGCCTTGGGAACAGCTTCTCTACCAACACCACAGAGCCTAATGGACCCGAGGGCCAGGACAAGAGACGCTGACTGGTAGCCTGTGACGACCCCAGCCAAAGATTCAATGCCTTTCCTCCCGCCTAACATGCACACACCTTGGCCCAGCGTGGCATGACAAGGACAGGTAAGAGGAGGGTGCCACAGAAGAAATGAGATTATTTTCTACTTCGTGTGCAGTATTTCCTCCCATCAATTCCCTGAAGATTGAGATCTCAGTTAAAAATTAAATGGAGTGATAGGAAATTAAATCCTGTGCCTTGCACATTTGATTTTATGCATTCCCTCAAAGAGTTTATATTGCTTGGCAGTTTACCAGGAAATTGTGCCATGTTTTCCTGGCACTTACATTCCTCAATAACCTACCATGGTGAAGATTCCACAGCGATGACAACGTATCAAGGTCATTACAGAAATGGCTGTGGGTGCCTTAGTCAACAATTGGTTGATTGTGGGTGTACGGGGTTATTTATAGCCACTTTATTCCATTCCATTGCACCAAAATTGTATATTGGGGAATGGACAGGCTCTTCAATAAATGGTGCTGGGAAAGCTGGATATACACAAGCAGAAGATTGAAACTCAGCTCCTGCCTCTCACCCTATACCAAAGTCAATTCAAAGTAGATGCTCTGAAACTGCCAGAAGAAAGTGTAGGGAAAACACTTCAACACATAAGCATATGTGATGACATTTTTATTATAAGGCCCAAAAATCAAGGACAACAAAGACAAAAGCAGACAAGTGGAATTATATCAAAAAAGCTTCTGCACACCAAAGGAAGCAATCAATAAAGTTCAGAAACAACATACAAAACTGGAAAAATTTTTGAAACTCTTCATCTGACAAAACATTATATCCAGAATATATGAGGAACTCACACAACTCAGTAACAAAAAATAAATTCCAATTAAAAAATGAGCCAATGATGTAAATAGACACTACTTAGAAGAAGAAATACAAATGGTCAACGGGCTTTTGAGAAAATATTTAACATCATTAGCCATCCGAAAATGCAAATCACAACAATCAGGCATCACCTCACCCCAGTTAAAATGGCTACTCTAGGAAAGACAAAAAATAAATTCAGGCAAGGATGTAGAGAAAAAGGAACTCTTAAAAAAAAAAAAAAAAGAAAAAGGAACTCTTCTACACCATTGAAAATATAAATTAGTGAGGCTATTACAGAGAACAGTAGAGAAGTTTCTCAAAAATACTAAAAATAATTCTGTCCTATGAGCCAGCTATTCTGCTTCTGGCTATGCATTCAAAGGGAAGATATCAGCATATCAAAGAGATTCCTGCACCCCCATGTTTATTGCTGATTACTCATAATAGCTAAGATATGCAATCAGCCTAGATACCCATCAAGGGATAAATGAAAAAACAAAATGTGGTGTATATCCACAGTGGAATATTATTGAGCCATAAAAAGAAATGATATCATATCACTTACAGGAAAATAGGTGCAACTGTAAGATTAATCTATGTGCTGGAAGTAGTATCCTGGTCCCAAATTCTAATTTACCTTAAGTACATTTTTTTTTTTTTACTATTCTGATGCCAAGTTGTGTCTTGTGCCTTTGTTCTTTATGTTTCTCCTGATTTCATTTACATTTTAATGCATGCTGCAACCTTATACCATCCTTTTACACTCTGTCTTAGACCAGTTAAGTAGCCCTGGTTCGGTTTTTTTTTTTGTAGTGGGGATTGTACTCAGGACCTTGTGCTTTCAATGCAGGCAGCAGCACCACTGAGTTCAATCCCTGGCCCAAGTACCCCTGGTTTTGATGTATAGGGTGTGATCTAAAATTATGGTGCATGTTTCAATGTTTAAAATTTATTATAGTAAAAGACACACTGCTATTAATCCCCCTCAAAAATACACCACCCCAGGGCCAGGGATGTAGCATAGGGGCACCTCATCTGCCTGACAAGCACAGGTCCTGAGTTCCATTCCCTGGTACCGCAAAACACACACACACACACACACAAAGCACCCCTCACTTTGAATACATTTATTCCACCCTTCTTGCCACTTTCTAAAGCAGCTCTGAAAGTCCCCTTTTATGTCTTTCGTTGTGCTGTCATGACTGCCTAGACATTCTAAATTGACTCAAAATGCTGACCTTTCATGGTCATTTTGACTTTGGAGAAGAACCAGAAACTGCATGGTGCCAGATCCAGTGAATAAGGTGGATGAAGACACAGCAGCATGTTTTCCGGAGCCTGCCTTTCCATTAGATGACACTCAACAGCAGCACTCTCTATATTTTTTTAATCACACTTCATAAAGACACTCATGAAAGAGGACTTCTAGAACTTCTTCAGAAAGTGGAGAGAACAATGGGATAAATGTCCAGTTGGGGGAGGAATATTTTGAGGGAGGTTCATGGCAATGTGTCTTTTACTGTAACAATCTTTTTTAATTTAAACATTCACCATATTTTTATCACAGTTCATACTGTCCCATCTCTCTACCTACGAGATAAAGAATCATCAGTGTGAGAAACCCTTTCATACACAGGAGGTAGGTTACTCCTAGTCTGAGGCTGAAGAGCAGGAACAGGGAGAGGGAAGTCAAACCCGTGGGCCCCACCAGAATGATGCTATTACCCAGATTATCTGCCAGGATGTACGGGATGGGGAACGTCCACCTGGCAGTTGGGTTCCTCAGCCCATTTCTTGACTTCTGTGAAAACAAAAATAAAGAGGACCAGAAGCCTCATCCCCAAGGTCACCTTGACTTCTTCCTTCAGTGGACTCTTGCACCACAAAGAATATATCAAGCAATTCACACCATTCTGTGGCATTTGTCTTCTCTTTATAAAACCAACAGAAATTCCACAGAGATACTTTTAAAACTTTAAAGAAATTATGAAGAACAAAATAAGGGGACCAAACTTGGGGTCTGTGAGCCACCACAAGCACATTGTCCCACTCCCTTCTCTCTTATTCTTTGCTCATTGGGAAAACAGAGTAGGTAAACCATTTAATAATTGTAGGGGTTTTTTGGGCTGTTTACTTGTTTTTCCTCTGTTTGTCATTGTCAGCTACAGTGAAAGTCCTCCTAAGCACAGGATATAGATTAGAATTCGTTTTTCTGCACAGTGCCCAACCCAGGTAGACCCCCCAATGGTTCATCCAGTTCTGAAGGAAATTATTTCAGGCAGGTACTCACCTGCAGAAGGATGTCCCCTTGAAAGAGGTCCAAGCCTGCAGCTGTATGTGGATTAAAAAAGAATAGTTGAATGAACATTACTCAGAGCCATCTTTCACAATAAAATTAATCTTTGCTATAACAAATTTTCCATTTTAATTATGATGTGCTAAACTTCTTTTTGAAACAATGTAAAGATTCCCTATAATTAAGCACAGGTGAATGGTTAGTGAGCACCAAAGATCATCGTGTCGTCTTTTCAACTTTGAAACAAGAAAACTTGCTCAAGAATCAGAGATGGGCTACAAGGGACCTGAATGGTCATGGAGGCTAAACTTCCTATTTCGAAGAAGGAGACAGGAGTTTGAGACAGGAAGTATGAGATGGGGGACCGGAAGTGATGAGCTGAGTGGGGGTCTGTGGTACAAGGAAAGTCGCTACTCCTGCCACCCCAGGCAGGGCCTTTGTGCTGTCACACGTCCTGCCTCTGACCTGGGGCAAATGCCTGGCCTTGCTCTCTCCCACGGAAACATGAAGGACCTAGAACCAAGCCTTTTCCCTGGAGACCAGGAGAACATGACAGAGCCTTAAAATCTGCATTTTAAAACTCCTGCTTCCGACACTCAGCAGAGGAGAGTCCACCTTCAGCCTTCCCTCTGTCTTGGCCTCACAGTTTCTGAAAAAAGGAATCTTCACTAGGAAGTCTTTGTGGGAAAACTTCCCTGACTCCAAAGAACATCACTCATCATAACCCTCATTTTGTGGGCATTGTCCTCTGTGAAGAGCAGACAGCTTCGAAGGGACCTCTGCTGTGATACCCCAACTTATAGCTGGGAAACAGTCTGCCTCACAAGACAGAAGGAGCCTCATGGGCAAAGCCATGACCCTTTAAAAGCTGGGTCCAGGTGCCCAAAGGACAGCAGGAAGTGCTAGGTATTGGGGGAACACAGTTCCCCCATTAATGACTCAGCTGCTCCTGCCTCTCCTCTCCTGACACACATTTTTCTCAGCTTATTTGACCTGTTCATGTGATAAGGGGACCATAAACACCGCAGGTGGTAATAATTACAGCTGGCTTAATCAGAAGGACCCACAGTGGGCATGTCTCTTCAGTGGGCACATGGTGCTGGCCCATCCATCTCCTACCCAGGCTTGTGGGGAGCAGAAGCCTGTTTTCTTAGAATGGAGGAGATAACCAGTTCCCTTTATCCTTGACCCCAGGGCTGGCTCGCACAGATGAGATCCTGGGGGTACATGTCTATGTGACTATGGCCCAGGTGGAGCCCAGAGTGCTAAGGCACAGGTGATGGACGCTGGGGGCTGCACTTGGAGAGTCCAGGCCATCACCCCGTGCTGTGTTGGAAGAGAAGTCATTAGAGGTTGGAAGTGACAGGATCCGAATGCCGTTGGAAGGACAGCTATGGCCCCATTGTGTGTAGCCATTTTGGGGGGTGAAGGAGAAAGGGGGCAGAAGTGGGGCCCCTGGACAGACAGGGCAGATGCAAGGTGACCCTAGCCAGGTGGAGCGGTGCTAGAGTGTGACCATGTGTCTGACAAGATCTGATGACAGATGGAGAGTAAGGTGTGGTAGAGGTGAGAGCTCAGGGCTACTCTGCAATTCTGAGCCTAAAATCTAGGAGGAGGGAGACATATTAGCTGGAATCAAGAAGACAGAGAAGAGCAGGTCCGGGTATGGAGGATAAGGGGGGTTAAAACAGCACTGTGAGGCTCAGAGAGAAGGTGGAAACCAGTGACAACTTTCTCTGCATGATTGTGTCCACTGTCTGTGATGACAGAAGCAGGCCACACAGCTAAACCAACAGCTTCCTGTGCCTCGGCTGGAATGCCCTAAAAGAGGTGGCTCTGCGGGAAGAGAGATTGTGTCCCCAGCTCACAGGTCAGAGGCGGAGATGGGGCCGAACAGCAAGAAAGGCTGAGGTAGAAGAACTGATTTCTACTACAGAGATAAGGATGAGACGGAAGTTCTGATTCTCATCTCAGCCCTGTTTTACTCTACCATGGATCTCTGAATGATAGACGTCCACCCTGTCTGATTCTCAAGAGAGAGATCTTGGTGCCTGGCTCTGAACCCTGGGGACCATCCACCCCACCAACCCTTCACCTTGTTAACTCGTTCCACTGTGGCCACCTTGCCATCCGCCAGCGATTCCAATTAAACACCAACTAGGTGGTGTCTCTGGGAATGGGACACGGCCATAGAAACCTAAGCCTTTTGTCATATTCAAATCACACTGAGCTACTGAGCTATGAGTCAGAAGACCCAAGGCGGCCTGAAGACAAGAGCCTGTGATCTGATGCAAGTCGCCCCAACCACTCAAACCTCCCATCCCTTCCTGCAAAGGGAAAATAGTCTTTACCCTACCTCAAGATCTGACAAGTTAAGATGCGCCTGGGGGGGAAAGGTTTCCAAACTAAGGTGTTTATGAACATGAACTCCTCTGCTTCCACCCAAGACACCAAAATCCAGAGACTTCAGAAGAAGGACACAGAGGGGAGAGGCCAGACGAGTCCATCTCAGTAATGGATGAGTCCCTATATCCATGAACTAAATTAACAAACAAGGGGACCAAAGAGAAACAGACACACCCTTCTCAAAGTCCCATAAGCAAACAACTATCAGAACAGCTATAAGGGGCTGATCGGGGAGATCAGGTCTTTTCCCCACCAAATGTATCTACAGGCTTATTCTTTATTATACCTCTTAGCAAGCAGAATAAACACACATTTTCCTCTCCCTTTTTTTCAAAATAGAATCAGGGAAAATGAAACTTTCATAATCAGAGAAACTGTTAGGTGCCTCTGTTTGTAAATCCCAGCCTCTTCTAGGAAATCTGACCTGACTTCCACCTGTCACCTTTCCATTGATCCGAAACTGTAAATGCTAATAAAACAACAATAAATACAGCTTCCCAAAAGGTACACAATGCAGTGCTACAAAGGTTTACATGTTTTACTAATCTCATCCCCGGGCTTTACCTTATTTCAAAACATTAATAATGCAGAAATTGAACCCACCTAAATTGATCTGTAAAATATCCTTCTGTTCACCAAAATCTGCATCCTGCACTGTTAAAAGTGGGAGAAAAGTGGTTACTACTCACGCTGAACCAAAGAGACAGAGTTCAGAAACTGTGGCCATTTGAATTGATTCTTACCATTTCCTTTAGAAAGATGTTTAATCTGCAGGGAAATAAACATAGAATGGATAATTTATGTGAGAATTGGTATTTCTAAATATGAGGAGCAGAATTCTACTTACTGATACAGCTGCTATGTGGGCAAAAAGCAAGGCGAAAGGGAGAATGCAAGTGGATCCAGTCCAAACCATCCTAGCAGGTGAACTGATTTTAGCAAAGACACCTTGTCATAAATACCGATTGGACCTTGCCCTAACTGTCATATTAGAAACTTTGACCCTGTTATAAGTGTGTAGTGTTGAAAAAGGTAGTGAGAGATGATGTCACTGACCATTTCATGGGCAGGGGGCAGGTACAGGTCTACCTTACACACTCCTGTGTCAGAGACAGGGCAAGAGTTTGAAAGCAGCACGGGGTTATTATATCTCGATCATATAATAACAGTTGAATATACCAGCGGTAACCATTCAACTAACAGATAAAACATACCCTCACAAAAGAAATAAAAATAACCTGTAAAATGATAAAAATGCACTTTAGTAAAAGATAAACCTGTTTTGTAGGAATGTTGTAAACCAGCAATTGAAGGACATAAAAAGACATGTTTCCCTCCCCATATTCTCTCCATATGTGTGTATGTATGTCTGTATGAAATATTTATGAATTAGTCTGATGTTAGGCTATAATTTCAAAGAAATTTCCGTAAAGATCCTAACAGGGATTTTGTTGAACTTGCTGAAATGACAGACTGTTTTTGAGATTTACGTGAAAAGGATAAAATTCCAAAAATAAATGAGAATATTCTGAAAAGGAAGAATAAAGACAAAGGAATTGCCCTAATAGAATAACCAGAATAGTTACAAAGTTTCATTCGCCAAAAAGAAAGAACATGAAAACAGAGAGAAGCATTTATGGAAAGGAACCAAATGCAACCAAGGAAACCTTGGCCTCTTTAATAATAATATTGGGAAACTAGCATTGTCATATGAAGAAGAAATTAAATTCTTACCCCATGCTATTCACAAAAATAAACTCTACATGGATTAAAGATTCAGATACAAACACCTGGGTTTTGAAAAAGAAAATACAGGAAAATACTCTTAACCTTGAGATCAGGAAAGATTTCTTAAATAAGAAAAAATAGGCTTAGAAATCAATAAGGAAAAAAATAAATTTGACTATACCAAAATTCAATGTTCTTTATGTTAGATACACAACAGAATTAATACATGAATCAAAGATATTCATTCTACATAAAACTGTTTAAAAATAAGTATCCAGTAAATACAAGGAATTCATACAAATCAGTAAGAAAAAAGATAAATACATGACTTAGAGCAAAAATTATGAATAGGAAATTCACATAGAAGAAAACTCAAGTATCCGATAAAGAGATTTTCAACCTCACAAGACAGGAAAAAAATGTAAATTTAAATAACAATGAAATGGCAACTCACATTCAGAAAGCTTAAAGGAAGAAAGCAGGCAGTACCAAGCTTCAAGAAGAACAAAGTAATAAGACATCTCACCCTGCTGGTGGCACTCATGTGACCATTTGATGCTATGTAATAAAGTTGAAATATGCATCGTTTATAGGCTAGGGACTCCCTTCCAGTTATATTTGCTAAAGACTCTCATATGTGAAGCACTTTTTTGTAGTAGTAAGAACTGGAAAATGTGTTTATACTGGAAGAAAAAGTATGGGGTATGAACATAGATAAATGTTTTAGCAGCCAGCTCTGAAGCCAGCTCTTGAGTCTTTGCTGACTATGGAAATAACCATTGACTGTGGAGTGTAAATGGCCCCTGCTCAAGGCGGAGCTATGACACTACGTCACTGGTGTGTTGGGAAGAGATGGGTAATGCGGCCTATGTGTGTCCAGCGCAGGGCCACACGGGC